GTGTTTTTTTGTTTCTTTGGGTTTGTTGTTGCTTTTTCCCCTTTGAAGCTAGAGTATGCTTTCTGATACCAACAAAAAGTGGGTAGGAACTGTTTTTGTTCTATTTATGCTTCCTTAGAGTTCACACCATCTTTTCTGAGGTCCCTCTTGACCCTAATCAAACATACACCATAATTATAAAACATCTGGAAAAAAAATCTTCTGCAAAATTAATTTTTCTCCACCAATACTGAAACTTACAGCAGAAATTTACTGGGGGAGAAATGAAATGAAAGGAAGGGACTGAAACAAGAAGTCTCATTTCACTGAAGAAGTACATAATAATTACTTCTAAGAAACAGCTTCATCCAAGGTCAGAAATGAAGGGTTAATTGAGTGCAATCCAGCCTAAGAATTTTGATGGAGTATCACAATATTACATACTAAAAAAGAATTTACAACAAATACTCATGTGCTTTCTTGGTCCTAATAATGCCAGAAATGCCAGATAGTCCGCTACTGTGTTGTCTAGACAAATGGCATATTCTTGCTAATTGGAAGTACAAAAAAGCCAAATTAAAAAGTAGGGATTATGGTAGTAGGAAATAGTAGAAAATGGACTGTGCTCTCACAAGCCTTTTTCCTTCTCATTACTTGAGATAGAATTGAAATCCTGTGCCTGAAATTATACTGATTTCATCAACTATGAATATGTATTTTCCAAAATATATGGCTATGAACATATGGATCATATTTTCAATGCATGTCTCAAGTTTAAGAGTTATTAAAAGTCATCTGTTTCGTAATATTTAAACTATTTCCAGTGTTAAAGCCTGATTTCTCAGATGCGATATTTTCCAGGAACATTTGCAGAGAACTGTGTGGGTTTTGTGTTTACCAATGAGAACAAACTACAGTGAGGAGGGGGTAATAGTTTTTACATATTTGTTGTTTGTTTTGGCATTTGCACAGTCATACACTAGAACTTTCTCCTGGAGACTTCCTTGTTCTGCCTTTCCTGTTATGCATCTGATTTGCCCTGTTTGTCTCAAAGTGAAGGGGGAGATGCTTTCCCTTTGTGCAGAATGGTGAATCACTATGCAATTTAGACTGCGCTGCCACTTGTATTAATTTCTGTATCAGGTTACAGAAAAGGCCTTATTCTCCATTGCATCCTTTCCTCTAAAGCCTTGTGCAAAGTGCACAAAAAATTTGTCATCACTGAAGTCCTGGAGTATGACAGAATGATTCTCTACTCATGGGACACCTCCTGTCCCAGTACCTGGGAAAAGAATTGCGTTCATAGCTATAGCTTGTTTGTGGATATTATGTTTTCTGAATGCTCCTATGCTGTCCTGGGCATACTAAACCACCAGATATATATTGTCCCCTTACACTCTTCTAAACTTGCTGGTAATTACAGCTACTTGCTACTAAGCTACCATACCATGTATATAGCTGACTTTCGCTTGTATACTTAAGAACTGCAATACCCGCCTACTTCTGGACTGGGGTGGCAGCCATAAAGTAGGCACACTCTTGCTCTGAAGCTCCTATTAAACCCTCACATAGGAATATGAAGATGGCCTTTGAAATCCTGAAATTGGAATACGCTACCAATACACTGATAAAGCCACCTAAGACCATCAAGACACTACCAAGACACCACGGCATGGAATATGAAAGAAAGACTTACTTATGCTTGTGTTCAGTACTCATAGCAGTGCCTGCCAAGAAGATTCAAATTGCTGGTACCACAGTGTAAAGAACAGTTTCTCCTTTTGTGTTGTTCTTGGTGAAATTTCCAGCGCTCTGTTGCCCTTTCCGAACATCAGAAGTCACAAACAGTTGCAACACATTACTCCAAAAGCATCAGTATGTGTGTTGAGGGAGAACAGGGAAGAGCCCATACCATATGGGTTATGATATTTGCGTAGTGCAGACAAGCAGGTGACAGGACAAACACTGGAAAGTCATTGCTGGAAAAGCTAAAAAGAGTTTTGTATGAGGTGGTGTGCTGATGGATGCCATATCTGGTATGCCATGACAGGGACACCTGGGGTACAGCTGTCAGGCCTGACATACTGCTGCTGCTTGTCCACCATGTAACCTGGCTAGGACAGCCTGGGCAGCTACCCAACAGACCACTGCCGGCATTGTCCTCGTGCCTTCTCTTTAGTATGAGAGTCTGTGGATAGACAACAGAACTTGGCATGGTCTTAAATTAAGACAGGAATGTGTCATAATACCTGACTAGTCTATTCCCCTAGCCGTATTTTTTGTAATCTCTCCGGTATAGGTCAAGTTAGTTTCCGCTGGCCCCTGAGAAAAGGATGAGGGAGGGATCCCCAGGCAGCTGCAGTGGGACAAAATGCTGTCACATATAGACATGTCTATAGCATGGATTAGTGGTTGGTCAGCATTATCTTGGGCCAGTACGTAAATGTTTGCTAGTCAGATTGCCAGGTAATCCTGTGTTTAATGCTGTCTGGCAATGGCAGCGCTGAGACCCTAAGGAGGAGGGACTGCCACATCGCTTTCTGTTCAGGTGCTCTGCAGCTGTAATGTGGAGGTGTACCACCCTGACCAAGACTACAGGCATTACCCTGTATTTATGACGGTACTGTGGGAGGTTTCTCTGCAGAGAAGTGGCATTTCCTCAGGTCACTGTGACTGCTGGGGTCCTGTGGATTATTGCACTGCAGGAGCCTGCACTCACAGGGTTATCAGCCAGATCACTTTCATGACATCCTTCATGTCCAAAGCCAAGACAACGTGAACTGTCTGAGAATTTGCCCTTAAGTGAGCTCCTGCAGGATGATGCAGAGACAGCTATAAAACCTTTGATCCTTCTGCTACAAGTGTTGAAGTGTTGCACTAAAGCAAACCCCTCTGGAGTCTCCCTGCCAGCTCTGTCTCCAGTCTTCTCTGCAAGAGGAAGCAGCACCAGCCCTCTGGGATTCCTGAACCTCCTGCACCAGGATGCTGTTCTGTGCCGCTGCCGAGGGGAGCTTGGCAGCAACTTCAATGAAACCAGATGTCTACACAGGGTCTCCCATTGAGCTTGGTCCTGTTATCAGAGACATGAAAGGAAGGAGGCAGTTCTTACATTTCCCTACATGGCCCAGAGCAACAGCTCTGCATGTGGATTTTCTGTTCTTTTGCAGAGAAGGGAATGAAGGTGGGCCTAGTAAAATAAATTGCAGGACTTTTTGTTTTGATTAAAGCCATTGTGTAACTAGTGCTTGTATTTTCTGTAGTTACATTCCTACAGCTACATTCACAATAGAAGGCAGCTTATTTTAAGCTAAGAGGAAGACTTGACACAAGGTTACAGCAAAGAAAGAAAAACTAACAATATTGATAAAATACATGCTTCTTATAAATTCATCAGCCCTAATCCTTACAATGAAAATATGCTTTCCAAATCCAGTGGCAAGGTTAAAGGAAAAACATCCAAATACATATATCAACACTAACCGTGTTTTCTTATATGAAAAAGATTATTTATTTTTTTTTGACTCTGAAGAAATTCCACATTCATGCCAAAAGCATAAAATACAGTGAAGAAAAGGCTGGCAGTATTTAAAACATGCAGATGAGCTCCAGAAACTTCTAAGGGCATTAGCATAGCTGGCTGCAAAGGAGGCACTATTTATCTTAGGAGTCACTGGGTAATGTGTAACATATACAGAAAAGAGAGGTACAAGGTCAGCTCTCATATGCTTAGGAGCCCTGGTAGTTTGGAATTGGAAGTATTTTGAATGAGGCTGTCTGCCATTTAACTTCCAGGAAAAAATACTGTAGCAAACAAAATCTTTCAACCTTTTATTTTCTTTCTCATTTTCTGTATAGGAAAGTAAAATATTTTCTATTTTTTTCATCTCAGGAGGGTCTGAAAACTGAGAACAGATGAAAGAGAAATACTAACCATCTTCTTCCAGAAAAATATATCTTATCTATAGATTCATATATTTTAGGGTTTCAAAGGAACATTATGATTATCTAGTCAGAACTGCCTGACAGGCTGTAAAACCTCACCAAGTAATCTCTCCATCAAGCACATAACATCTGCTTGAGTAATTGCATACCTCTTAGAGAGATACCTAGTCATGATTTAAGGGCTGCAAGTGATGAAGTTCTGCAGTCCTTACTCAGAATTCGACTCAGTGAAAACACTGGCATATTATGCTCTCTGTCTGTTAGGTTTGGAGGAACAGAAAGAAATACCTGGCTTTAAATAGAGTCTTGTTTGAAATCTGTATGAATAAACTCTACAGAATTTAAAACAAACAAAAAGAAAATGCATCATAAGAATACTTGTGCACCACCTTCTCTTTTGTAAGGACACAAACCCACATTCCTCTATCCTTTTTTCTTGGGATTTTCAGAAAGCATTGACAAAAAAGTTAAATCCTGCAGGTGGATCTCTTTAGGTTTAAACTGACTTACATTTCTAGTTCAGTTACCTATAGGAACAGTTTCCAGCCCCGTATGATGCATTGTTCCTAATATACAGTCTAGTCTTTTTTTACATGTGGTGATACTCCACCTTCAGTATTCTTTTAAAGATGCTAATTTCAAGAGAATTACATCAGAGGCACCAACTCTAAGTAGCGAGGTAAGTTCTCTCACAAATGCCATAGTAATTCAAACCTCTGTATGCGAGCTAGACATCAGGTGTTCAGACTTGACACTAGGGCAAAACAGTGACTGAACTGCTCACTTACTGACAACTATCACAAAAGCTATGAGCTCTGAGGCAGAAATTAAGACTAACTGGGATTCTGATCAACATATTTGTGCGTGCGGTGGAAACTGTATAAATATACTTGGTTGTGAAATGTGATCAAGAAACCTGATAAATCTGTACAGCCAAAGGTGGTATTTTCTGAACAGATGCATACCTTATGTTCACAGATCATATCATGATGTGAACCTGTGCATGTATGCAACTTTAAAGTACACACTACCAGAAGTCACTTGCCCTCTTTCAGATCCATTAATATTTCAGAATACAGCATTGTCAAAACACGATCGTATTGGTAACCTTGTTTTCTGTGGTAGTGAATATTATGCATACATAAACATTCAAACTGTGGTAGCTCTTCTCTTTGAAATAACAAATGTTTCCAATATTCATTTGCACCATTAGATACAAGAATAGATTTTGTTTACGTCCAGCGGTGTCCTGCTATTGCTTGAATTGACTGTCACAGCTGAAAGTCATGGAGTGACTCGGTGCCCATAAAAACAGATGAAATACTGGGAACCACTTAAAAAAAAAAATGAAAATCTTACCTTATTAAAAGCAAGCACAAACTCCTGAAAAATGTAAACTTTGAAAAGAGAAGCATCAGTCATAGCTTCTCAGCTCATCTTTCAGAGTTAAATCAACAGAAAAAGCAGTCATAATATTTCTACACCTAAATAAAACAAGCTAGGAATTTCCTTTGGAGCTTAAAGCAGCTCAGATCATTTCCCTAGTCAGATAGAGACTTCATGTGTGACCTTAGATAAATTGCCTGGGACAAGGTTTCTGAAGGTATGTATATGCCTAGGTGTACATTTAGGTGTGTATTGGGGTATTTGCTACAGATTCTCATAACTAGCAGGCACTTTACATGAGTGTCTGTCTACTTTTAAAATGATCCTTCAGTGTTTTACCCAAGGGTCTGCGGATGACTAAGGGGTTCACAAGCCCATGAATCTTGGCTATTGTAACTAATGATGTTCAGATCTATTTTCACTTTGTATTTTGAAAAAAGTAGTATGGTGCCTATGAAGCCTTTGAAAACTATCAGTTCTGACAGTCTGCTCTAGGACAGTAGACTCTATTCCCCTCTGTAATATGAGAATAATTGTACCTTCAGTAGGAGCTGCCAAATAAACAGGACACATGGTGGGACAGTCATTGAGTCATAATGTAGCCATATTTCAAGCTTGAGATAAAGAAAGGAAAAGAAAATATCCACTTGCTGCATAAAGAATATATGTTTGTTCTGTAGCTTGTTCTCCCTAATTCCACAGTTAATCAGAGGAGGGAGAAAGAATACATCTTGGGTCTCATACAAAAATACAAATAAGGTAGTGGGGAGATCTTACCCAAAAAGCTGATAGCATGTAAGTAGCAGAAATTGCAGAGCTGAGTGTTGCTCAGTACCTCCTGGAGGTTGCTCAGCACCTCAGAATCAGGGCAGAACTTGTATATTTTTTTCAGGTTTGATTCTGCAATACTAAATTAAATGAGTCATATCAACTTATGCAGAATTCCCCTGAAATCAAAAGGGCTAATTGAACAAAAATCACTCAGGATAGAAAGAGTTGCAGTGAGGCCCTTAGAGAGCACAGCTACAGGCACTTTAGACAATTGAAAATGCTCTGCTCTTTCCACAAATGCACTTCACATCTGTATGAATAAGCTAATTGCTGACGGGAAGGCACTGTTGGTGTTTATTAAACATGAAGGCTCAGAAACAACATCTGGCTCAAGCAATCCCTAATTTTGAGAAGCCTGGAAGCAATATCAGGGAGAAACAATTTAAACATATTTCTTATTAACATATTTCTTCAGAAGCATTTGATATGAGCAATCATCAGAGCTGGGATAATGCAGAAGGCAGTTACTCTGACAGTTGCTATAGTCCAATGCTTTACTGTCACAGATTCATCACACATATGAGAAGCTATATTAAAGTCAGAAAAGGTCATTCTCAGATTTCTAGATCATAAACTTCAATACTTATTCTTGTCATTTTTTACCTGCCACAGTGGATCAGTAATATATGACTACTGAGGATCTTTATGGTGACAAAGTAGATAGAGCAGATGCTGTATGCCATTTAAGAATTTAGTTCTGCTATACTTTTTAGTTTTATAGAAATACATTTATTTTTGTACTAAGAGGCAGAAAACATTTCTGCTTCAAATTATTCAGCTATGGTTAGTCCACTTTAATTATTGTATATAAAAACGTTTTATTCTTAAATCTGACTGGTAGAGATCACTTAGAGCATTCAACTAGAATAGTCTCAATAAAAACTAATTAAAAGCTCCTGTGAGTTTGAGCATTGTATCTGGTAGACTCAGTAACAAATAAAACATAATTCTAAACATTCATTTTTACAAAAAAAACCCAAACAAACAACAAAAAAAAACACACAAAACCAAAAAACTAAATTTGAACAATAAGTTAATAAACTGAAATAGTTATCTATTTTCAGATATAAAATCCCAGCGACTCAATTTATATATCACTATAGCAGACATGACACGATTGTGAATAATGCTATCCACTGTCATAAGTGGTACTTCAAGGTTTTCAGCAGAAAACTTATATTTTAATTTTCTGTTCATATAAAGCCAAAAGTAAGAGGCAAAGCCAGCCTAATAGTAATCCAAGGTTCTGTAGGAGAAACATCAACCAGGGTCGCCGTGTCTGAATATGAGTCATTTCAGGAAGCTAAAAAAAGAATAAGAACCAGAATGAGAGCCAGATATATTCATCTCTGGGAAAAAAATTCTTATGGGAAAACAAGGCAAACTTCATTAAAAAAAACCCTTTCAAAATGCTGTTTCTGAAATATAGTTATTAAGCTGTAGCATTTTCTGTACATTGCAACAACACTGACCTTGACAGTGGCATGTTGAAATTAAACAAATTCTACCCACTTTGGTTCTTTTATCAGCACCAACAAGAATTATAAATGAGATTCCAAAATTTGTTAACTTCTAAATAGTTTTTAAAAATTCTATACAGCTGTCTGTAAGGAAATGCTTATTTAGTAAATTCAGTGATTCCCTTTTGAGGGAATAAACTAGTTTGAGTTTTTTTGTTTCAGTACTATATATAGGGTCAATCCTACTCTTACTGAAATAATTGGCAACCCTTCTGTTTGCTTGGGCTTTACTAAGCATACAAGTAGAAAACAGGATTTTTTAAATATGCCTGAAAAAATTATGCTTAATATTTTTCTCTGGGAGTTTTAAATCAATTAAAGGAGCAGCAGCTATTTAGAATCGCGTTAAAAGCTACTTACATTGATCTTCCACTCTACATGGTGTCTTTCATCAAGGTTTTAAGTAAAATATATGTCTCAACAGACCCAGTGAAAATGATGCCACAGGCTCAGACTCTCAGTATTTATGCTCTATGTATTACAGGCGTCAGGGGAGGCACTAATGACTGCAGATACTTTCACATCAATTTTTGAAATAAATATAGAGCAATGGCCTGGTACTGACCTTTGGGTTTGGTTGGGGCTTTTTTGTTTTCTTTTTTTATTTGTTGTGAACTTCAAAGGAAGAGCAAGTGGTCCTGGCACTCTCCCATCCTCCCTTCCTGCTCTGCTCACAGACTGTGTTTGAATGAAGCTCATTACTTCCTCTGCTCTTTAGAGCCTCCTCAGAGGAGATGTATCAGCATCAGCCACTGGGAGACAGTGCAGTGGTGCTGACCAAGGACGCTAACAGGGTGTGTTCACATCTATTTGTTATGCTTGTCCTTCCCTCTGTCAGAGGGGGGTCTCCAGCTCTGCTTCTCCTGCACTCTTCCTTCTCTGGAAGTTGGCATGGGCCCAAAAGAAAACTAGAGTGAAAAATCTGCCTCCGCTTTAAGGTTTTGCATAAAAATAACAGGCAAACCCAAATGTCCCAGATCTTCATAACAGCTGGCAGTGGCTTAAATTATGGTACAAATTTACATCTTAAAAACTTACATAGTTATATTTAATTTGTATTTGAGGCTCATCAGAAACTTTCAATCTAAACCAAATGTAAATACCTCAAAGTTCTGATGTAAATCAAAATCTGAACTGACAGTTTGTAAGTGTTCAGAGCATGTGGGTTTTGTTGTGTATACAGTAAAAACTGTTAAAACCTAGGCCTGAATCCATGGTTTCCAGTGTAGACCTTCGGTATTTCTTATTTATCCTAATAATCTGTCTATTGTGTCCTCTTTCCCAGCACCTGAATGAGCAAGTTCTCTAAATAGGAAACTTTTCCCCTCCCACTGCAAAAGCCAGTTATTTTTTTCTTATTGCTGTCAGTGCAATTTCTGAGTTACATACATCGACGGAAGGCTCCTAAGAAAGTTTTCAAACAGAAGCCTTAGCAGATAATGCCCTTCCTGTATCCAGTGCAGATGTCTGCTCTCTCCACCTAACCTATATGCATATTATCAAGCACATAGATCATTTCTACACCCTTATGTAGTGTGACATCCCTGCTTAAGAAAGCATGCCACAGCATCAGCTATGGTTCCCCAACTCTCTCTGGACACAAACGTGTGTGCTCTAGCAGAGAAAAGCTTGTTTAGGAAGCATAAGCCTGTTCAACTGGCAGATGCAAACCACTTCACAGATTCAGGGAAGACAGCAGAACATACAAGCTGTTGAATGCCATTACGCTTGCTAATGCTTAAAGTCTGTTGGGGGCAAAATAGTTATTGTTAATGAAGGGACTACTCTATTCCTACTGCAGCTTATATTATCATGAGCACACAAAAGACATGAAGAATTAGGAAGCAGCATGCCAAAGGCAGGCTGAAGCAGGCTGCTGAGGGCCTCTCAACCATGTGCTGGCTAAACAAGAGTTCTACCAATCTGGGGCATATATGGTATTACTGCTGTGCTGCAACAGCCCAACAAGTCACTTTAAAAATGCTTCTTTTATCTCCAAAATTCAAGGATTTTTAAGGTTAGTCAGAGAAAAAGTCAGTTGGTTACCTCAGGGAGCAGTTGGCTAGCTCCTATTTCTTGATATTCTTACTTTCTTGCTTGCTTCTATCTCCCTCCTTTCAAATTAGACAACAAATCCTTCTGGTCAGGAACCATATAAACCCCTATGATCTGTAAAATCGCTCAGAAGTGACATCCAGTCCTTGGGGTTTAATAGAATACATTTGATTTCATAAACATTTATCTGTAATGATTACTTCATAGATACTCATTTAAGAGGATGATACAGAATTTTCAGGTTTGTTTCCCAAGACGAAAAGGGGACGTTTTGTCAAAAAAAAACAATTCCTTAGAAGTGACTTGGTTTTCTCCATTCCATATATTAGTGCCTCAAGTTTCAGTTGGATTAAGGGTATGTTAAAGAAATGGTATGTTATTAATTAAAAGATCCTTGGAAATAGTTCAAAGTTATGATTATACTTACACTTGACCTCTAAACAGACGCCAAGTGCAAAAAATCTCACTATACTGCTCATAAAAAGCTATTTTTCAAGGAACTTAATTATGGTTAAGTGACAATTAAACCCACAAAATTACAGGGCTTTACAAACATGCTTACCTTGAAGCGACAAACAATTTATATTGCAATATTTCACCTGTGCATACACATTTGCAAGACAAAATACTCCTCCCTTCCACCTTCCCCAGTTACTGGGAAGATGAAGTTTTGCAGAATTTCTTTGTGAAAAATGGTGAATGTTGTGCATAATTTCATCTTTTGTCCTTTTCCTCAGATTTCTAAAATTCTTAGTCTACCCCCGCTTGTTAATGGATCCAGAATGCCATTTGTAGAAATGAAAAGCCTTTAATTAACCACAGAAAGTAGTTTTGTGCACCTTTGGCTGCAGCAGCAGTCTCACAGTGCTGTCCTGTCAATGAACCTCCACTCATACCCCTCAACGCTCCTCAGTGCAGAAACCAGTGAGGCTGTTCAGTTTTATTTAACTGCTGCTCTGACAAGCACATGAATAACTGAAAGCCCATAAAACAAATACTGAAAATTATAGCTAAGCTTTGTGCACCATGAAGTATTTGTATGCCATTGGCAGTGACACTGATGACTGCTGTTTGCCAATGAGAATGCAGCAGAGAATAAAAACGATTTCTGAACAGAAAGTTGAAAAATACATAAAGAATGGCTGATTTTCTTTTGAGATGTACTGTACAAACACACAAAACTTTTCAGACCTATAGACTCCTGCAGTGCCACAGGAATAGTTATTAAACTAAAATAACCCCAGTGATAATAACACCTGCACTTCTGACAAACACAGGTGAGGAACCCGATGGCAATTCTTTTGTCAAAATGCAGAGAAAAGCTGATTGGAACCATATTAATAAAAGTGAGGTGAGAGAAATAAGATCCTCTCTCTCCTCCTTTCTCCTCTTCACGTCAAGAAGAAGATTATGTTGACAAGCTGAGAACAAGGGAAAATATGTCCCAGTCTCAGCCTGGAACTGTGTCATCTTTTGGGATTTACAGCTGTCACACTGCTTTGCAGACTCAGGGGAAAACATGATGTTCTAGGAGCCTGTGGGTCCCTGACGGATGCTGAACCTACACTGAAGGAAAAACATGCCTAAATCATTCTTAGCCACATTAGTAAAACCATGCCTATTGAGTAGGTAGGCAGCCTCATTTCTACATTTCTCTGTGCCAGAATGAGATGCAACTTGGTACACAGTGTTCTTGTCTATTGTTTACCATCTTAGTCAGGACTGTTGACACATCCACAATCCTTAGGCAGTTCCCACATAAGTTCTTAGGACTAGTTTATGTTATTTTACTTTTGTTATGGTAGCAAAAATAGACTAAAATATACCTAAAGCGAAGGTCAATTATTACAAGTATATTTTTGAAAACAGCATGGCACATCAGGTTTAAAGTATTATGCTTGAAGCTGGTAAATGATTTTGAAGGTATGAAGTGGGAGGTGGTAGTGAGCACAACAGCCAGCCAGGCTTGGGAAAAATCTAGTAATAATTTAGGAAGAGGCAGACCTCTTTTTTACCTCTTGATGTAATCACTCTAAACATTCTATCTTTTTTCAGAAGCATGCAAACAACTTTACATTGACACACATTGGTTAAAAAGCCATGTGTCAAAGCTGGCAAGGTAATTAAGCTCTGCACTGTTACAAGTGTAACAGCTAGCAGCCTCTTCAACAAATGATGTGGCCTGAGGCATGAGTTACGATTCCACCACATTATTCCACAGTCCTTAGACCTTCTTCCTACTGTATGTCTTCACACTTTATTTTTCTATAGTCAGATCACTGTTATTGAACTGGGAGTATGAAAAATGTTGGCCAAATATGAAAAAGTTGAGGCAATCTGATGGAGTTTTAATTGCTTAGGAGCTCATCCAAACCTCTCTTGAGATAGAAAAGCTGACCAGGAAGAGCGTAGGATAAGCATCTTGGATTTTAGTTCAGAAACATAAAATTCATATTGAAACAATGGATGAAAAATATATAAAGAAAAGGGCAGTGAAGAGAAAAAAAGTAACCAGCTTCAGGAATTCAAAAAAACACCTGCAGGTTCAAACGTTTCTTTATGTTGACTAAGTAACTCTATCAGACCTAAAAAATACACTGTTCACCTTTTCTCCTTTAAAATTCCCTTACGTCTTTCTCATATATTATCCTCCTAATGGCCTTCATTTCATCTTTTTATTGCTAACTATTGTGGCAGTGACATGGAACAGAACCAGACTGTTGTTCTAAGTACTGTACAAACACAGGGCAGGCAACATGCTCTTCCCAAGAAGCCTATGAACATTTTTTTCTCTCCAAGTTTATCCACCTGCATTTGTCTGACACTCATCTGTGATGTGGCTATGTTAAAAGAAAAACGTAGCAATAGACTGAAGTTCTCACCATTTCTGCTAAAGATAAATACAAGAACATTCCGGCTGTAACAGTAAAAATCCAGTTTTGAATGCATGGTTCAGCTGATACAGAAAGGCCAATATAAAGTCCTAAGAATGCTGTTAGTGCGCTTATGAAATTCATCATAATTGCAATCTTTGTGGGGATCCCTGTACTTAGCAGCACAGCAAAGTCACCTGCATCGAGAAAAAAGACAGAAAATTTATTATTTAGGTGATGAATGTATTTTTAAGGCTCTCTGTAATAAAACATGAAGGAAAATAATGAAGATATGCATGGTGCATGATGGAGGACTGCCCTTAGATTTCTGTAGAATTAATTATAAACTCATCCTGTGTGAAAAACCCGAAAACCCCATATTGACTTGTATTTGTTTAGCTGTTCCTGAAGATAGCAGACAGTATACAGAAGCGGCTTTCTGTTAGTTCTTGGTGGTCTGTGACATTTCCAACTTGGATACATGCAAAAGTGAAGTCACATGCTTTCCCAGAGTTTCTAAATCTTTCTCAACTGGCAACTTGCCAGTTCAATTCATGTGAGTATATCTGCAGTATGGTCTATGAGTGTTTTACAGGTGCTGCAAGTCAGAAGAACCTATGCCAGTATGATTCCTGTTTAATTCCATTGATTCCAGGCCTATTTAGCTTTGGCAAATTGTACATTAGAATAGATTTTTCTTCTAAAATAAACAATCCCATAACAGGCCCATGGTAAAAGGTTTTTCAAGTAAGTTCTTCCCTGTGAGTGTAGAAATGCCACTTTAACACCGGACCACTATTGTCGCAAGATTAAGGTCTGCCTTTGGAGTTGACTGTTCAGTATTCTGGTAATTTCTTTGATATGCAAACAGAAGGTTCAAGTTTTACAGCAATTCTCCACCCCACATTTTTATTTGGGGTAATTTTCTATGTACACAGGGCATGAAATCTTCATTCATTTAAGAATAGAAATGGGAACCTGCAGTTCTCACCTCAAACTTGCCAGGTTATAAATGTCTAGCAATGCAACATCAGAAACAACTTCAGCCATACTGAAACATTTATCACAAAGAGATGATTGAGGGCAATGTTCAATAGAATGATCTGCTTGTCCTGTCCACTAATAAAATGGGTCATATATCTTCTTTTATTATCTTTTTATACTTAATTAGCAGGAGAAATAAGGGTAGCATGAAGAATGCATTGTTAAATGGATCTACTGCATATTAACACTCTTAGCCCATTGTGTCAGGCATGCCTATTGCACACACACAGCTCTTGCTCTCAGCTTTACTATATTTTTGTCTGTACACATGAGAATAACAGGTCACTCTTGAACTGATGGCATTTACATTTGGAGAAGGCAAGATGGGGTGGCATCCAATAACTAGGGCAGAAGCCTCCCCTCTTTTTTGTGAAGCAGTTAGAGAACACAGCCTCTATATATCCATCTCACACACTAATCTTAGAGAACAGGAAAGAATTATTTGGAAAACCTGGAACTACAAAGACAATCAAGAGAAATACAAATTATATTTCTTACCCATTTCATGAGGAATTTCATGGCATAAAATAGCAATCGTTGTTGTTACACCTGCTTCTGTTGAGGATGAGAATGCTGCTCCTATTACCAAGCCATCAGCAAAATTGTGAAGACTATCACCCACCAGAACCATTATTGCTAACAAGCTAATTTTCTTACCTAAGAAAAACAAAAAACAAAAAAGCCCAGAATTTTTAACACAGATACTGTAATTTTTGCTATGTTACAAATTATTTGGGTTTTTGGTCACTTCACATATAACATTATGAGAAGTCATAACAATCAGAGAAAAACAGAGTTTATCCTGTTTTTCTTCTTATTGTTTCCCTTGGTATATTTGAAACAAAAAGTAGGTGTATAATACTTCAGAGGTGCAAATACCAGGAAGTAGCTTCCTTATTTTTACTAAGTAAACTATTAGACAAAAAATAAGAGCATGTTTTAACTCCAGCCTCGTAACATATCCTAAGGTTTCCAATTAATCTTTCTTTGGTTGCTGAAATTCACATTTTCCTATGTTTTTTCTTTAAAAGATGTGAATTTTCCCCACATTGCTTACAGAAATATATAGCTATAATGAAGACAAATATTTGGTCTTATGCAGATGATCATTTTAATACTGAAAATCATACTGCTACTGAGTCACATTTTCAGGGTCTTTTCTTTACGAGATTGTATTGCAGTGAAAAATAGAGACGAAAGGCAACAAGCCTCAGTGCATCCCTATTAGTACAGCATTAGAGCATGCTCACTTCCAACTTTTGTTACAACCAATTAGTGGCTGTTATGCTTATAGTACTCCTATCTGCAGCATCATTCATGGATGCAGATGGCTGGTTTTTATCCATACTCTTCTGTGACCTTGCTTTAGTATGGAACAGTACATTGGATGTTCATCCTTGGGCATCAGATGTGAGTGGACAGGTGCTAGTAGCGATACTGATATCAAGCTAGGGAATTATGGACCATCTCTCTGTCGACCCTGTAACACAGACAGTTGAGTAACATGCTGAATGGATTCATGGGGAAGGATTTTATCTCCTCAGGTAGCAAGGAGGCTCCATCCACTGGCTCACTATCTAGGCTTAGCAACATATAGTTAGTTCCCCTAGTTTGTACATTGTCCCAATCATTTTATCCATAATCTTATACACTGGACCTCCTAATGTGTCTGAGGAAACTCATCCAGCTTCCCTCTGCATAGTATGGACAGAACACTTTGCAAAGGATTCCTTTTATGCCTGAAGAAACAGGGTTGTGATTTAAACCCTAAACATGTAATTTCTTGACTTTTGATGGCCCCACAGAGACATAATATGACAGTCTAAGGAGCTAATGTGAAGCTGCACAGAAATGTCTGAACATAGTTATTACAAGGTTTCGCTTCAGTAATGTTTTTGCAGAGATGACCGGTTTATGGTGATGGGGGAGACTTTTTTCTTACAGAAACTGGCTGGAACTGAAGTCTTCAGACTATTGTAAAAAAAACACATAGCACATAAATGCCTAACAACTGTATTCAGAAAATCCTCCCTAGTTGCCCAGGAGCTCTGCGGGTTCAGAAAAATTGGCAGGCTTGTTAGATTTTCCTGCCAGCTTACAGAGCTGGAAGTGGATGTCCCCAGTTTACACAGTTCTTTCTAAACACTATGGGCAGTTTATAATCGATAGTGCAGAGCATGAATTACATAGAAATAATAGATTGCTGCATTAGATTAAGTTTGTGATTTGTAATAAACAGTGGCAAGGACAAAATTGTGGCCTGCCCTAAGATATTATTAGTCTGTTTTATTCAAGTGTTTGATTGTTGAAGAAGATATACCATGGTTACTGGAACTCACTCCAGTGTGGTGTTTATAATATAACATGGGGATCAGGTTAACATTATGGGGCAACTGCGAATGTAAGCTTTGTGAACTTACTTGACTGAAAGTTAAGATGATGCATATATAAACAAAACTGAATGTTTATCTTAATTTACTGTGAGCCTATTTTAAAGCAACTTTGTTATTAGCAGTTATCATATGGCATTATACTGTTGCAACAGTAACTATTAGCTATGAACTTACTACCCTATTTCTACAAAGACGCCTCTTAAACAATCCTGCATTTATTTTTGATAATTTTCTCAAATTGATGATCAGAACTCCTAGCAAATTCTGTTTCATAATTTTCATAAAGCTGATGGGTACAGGACCCCCACCATAGATTAAGCTTTTTAAATATTGAATAAGAGTTTAAAGCAAATATTTATCCATAAATAGGTCCTTTTCCCAATGTTTTCATTACTTATAGAGCAAAAATAGTTCTAGTTAATGTAAAGTCTCACTGAGTATACCAAGCATACAGTGGTAATACTTGATCTTTTCAGATATTGGTAGAACAAGTATGGATAAATGAGGAGAAGGCCACTAAGACATCTTTTTCTTCTAGTAGCTTCTTGCTTTCTGAATTACTCACTGGCTATCTAAGGTGATGACTCGTTTTGCAGTTGTACTTGACATGCATTTACAGAGAAGTCTGGCACTTTTGGAGATGTCATGCTCTGTCTTAGAGCTGTAAATTCCATTCCATTTTAGGGAAAAAAAAACCACGTAAAAGTTTAACTCAGTACCAAAGTACCTGGGTATGTTTATACATTCAACTATCCACAAGACCTTTAACAATAAAAACTTTTGAAAACATGTATTCTCAAAAATTGCTCTTAAAAAAAAACAATGCCCCTTCCCTAATATGCTCCCTCTCAGTGATTTCTAATATAGAAGTAAAATTGGGGTGTAAGATAAAAATGGAACCAAACAAATAACATTGTTACTGAGACACTATCCCAAATTTAGTTATACAGCAAATTTAGTTATTTGAAACAAATAATGCTGAGAACACCAGAAATTTGTTTGTGCTTAGCAGGTAGCGATGATTGAACAGAATGGAAACATCTTGAGGTGAACTAGGTAGACAGTCACATTGAAAGTGGCACTGGACTGTGTACTGGTGGATAGGTGACACTGAAGCAATGGAAATCCCAATTTCAAAAGCCTCAGAAATGGAAATAGAGTGCACCAGAAAAAAGAATATTAAAAACTTAGAAGACAATGACATTTTCAAATAAATCAAACTGATGACCTGAAATCCAAGATCATAAAAGAAAGGGGAGTTCATTATAGTAAATAAATTGATTTCAATTAAAATGAATGACTACAACTCTATGAAATTTAAGTTCACACAAGTACAGTCAAAGGCACAGTTTGGTTTATTCTCTATTTTCTTGGTTTTTGGAAGAGGCAGCAGCAAGACAGAGAAGAACTACTTTGAAGCTCTCTGGAGAAAACAGTTTATCCTAAAACTGAGAGCCATCATGAGCCCATAATTCCATACATGTAATAAATAATTATTGGTTTTAAAAGGCTATTGCTTTACCATATATGAGAAGAAGGAAGCAGAATTATATTAGTACAGCAAGCCAAAAAAAACCATCATTTCACTGCTTTCAGAAATAAAAGCCCTAGCAAAGTTTATGATTATAAAAATCTGGTTTGTATTAGATTTTGAATATTTTCCTTTAAGCAAAGGCTGTAGAAAAATAGTTTGCAACAGTGAGTAAACAAACACTAAAGCATGGACATTATAAGATTAATTAAATTCACAATTACAGGGTTGGCAGCTGAAAAGATCTTCAAGCAGAGATTAAATTATGAGCCAAGCACCATCAGATGTAATGATGTAGTACACAGCAAAGGCAGAGCTAAGCCAGCTTCACACTTTCAATTCCATCTTAGGTCTGAAGATTTTTCCTGTAACTTCTCTAGTCTTGTTGTTGATACTAACTTTTTTTGCTGATGGCCTTACTCTGTGGAGTATCTTCAGCAGACTCAGAATCTTCTGGGCTTCTCTAGTTAAAAGCAAAGATAATAGATCAGTGTTAAGGGGCTCTTCCAGCTGCTGCTGTAAATACAGGAAAATATCAAATAAGTTCAAGCTTTTTTGAATTAAAGTTAGTAGCTGTTATAGATAGATATCATTAGAATAATTTACTGAGCACTGGCAGTGTGATTGGTACTTCAGAAACACACAAAAAAGAAATCTCCCTTGCCCAGAGGAGAGATTACGGTCTAATTCAGGTAGGAAGACAGACATTCATTGTTGTAACCCAAGAAAATCACGCTTTTGCTTGAATACACAAAAATCTGAGCCAAACACAGGTCTGAAAAGGACATTATAATTCAAATTGTATCTTTCAATTTTGTTATGACCACATAATTGTAGTTTCCTGATGGATAGGATGTCTAAAGGATTTCCAAGGAAAAATGGATAGACACCAGTGTCTGGAGTTCACCTACTTCACAGTTACTCCGTGAAAACACAAGACTAAAAAAGATGATCATAAGTAGGCCTCACACCCTGTTAAAATATAGATTGTTTTTTTTTCTTCAGGGTGGTAAAGCCTCCAGTGCCTTGCCTTGTGGCCTTTAGTTAGGGCTTTGTTTTGGTTGGCATCAGGCATCACTGGTTAGGCATAGAAGCACATAAGTACACTCCCCTGCAGTGGGTGAGTGAAGAAAGAGAAAGTATCTTTGCCCTTATCCTAGAGAGTTAATTTGATGCATCAGCCCTAGTATTTAATTAGCAGAAACCGCTGCTGTGGGGAGAGAAGAGACAACATGAGGAACCTCTCTCCCCATACCTCCCTGCGGCTTTTCCTTTTGGTTAGACAAATTATCAGAAATTTGTGCAAGGGTGAGATAAGCCAGCAAAACTGATTTGCTAGAAACCAGAAAAAACGAATTTATAATCACTGTCTTTTCTTTTATTGGCCAAAATTATGACAGCCAGTGAAGAGTCAACATCAGCATGAAAGAGTGCTTTGTCAGGGACTGCAGCCACCACTCCACAAGCTGCAGAAGAGCTGTGTACTGGTGGCAAAACAGAATATGTTTCTCTGCTGGTATTAGCTTGGTTGTGATGTGGGGTATGGGCTGTACCAGCATAAGGAGGGAAGAGATAGGATTTGGCTTTTAATGTCTACATTTTAAAGGAAAAATTAAAGTCTTTCATTCCCATGATGGCAGCCAGTCATGTGAATTCCAGTAATTGTTCCACTTCTCTTATAATATTTACTCACATGCCACTTCTTTGAGTCAAAACTGCAAGACTAATCACTGACCTGAAGGATTTATAAGCTTTTCTTAGTCAGACAGTGTTTGTCTTATTATTCCTCACACGATTCTGAAAAATTGGCCACTCTTGCACAGACTAGATAGGCAAGGCTAGTTCATGTGATCTGCACAGAATATTACAGGGATCTTGCAGTTGAGAGGAATGACAAGGTTGTTCTTTATCATAAACAGGAAACTATGACGTGGTTCACAAATTAGTAAACATCCTTCAATGGTCTGCTGCACTGCATTCAATTGAGGGTTCCCCAACTGTATTTGAAAGATTAGCAGGGCCTCATGAGGTTCTTGTCCATCACAACTGCATGAAGTAAAATGGAGGTCACATTATAGTAGATCTCTGGCAATCCTGATTTAAATAATCAGGAACTTATGTATCTAGATTCTACATATAAAATGAAGAGATCTGCTGAGGAAAAGAAAAAAAAAGAACAGAACCCAAACCCGGGTTAAAAGGTATGAGGCAATTTAGTTTCCAATGATATATCTGTCTGGATACTCTCCACCAATAGAAAGTTATGTAATTTCTTATAGGTAAGCACTACTCCCATATACGCAGCTTGTTTTTGTTACTCTTCAAAACTGTGGAAAGTGCCAAAAAAAATCCAGGATAATCTGTTCACTAACTGTGCATTTAGCTCTTACTGCAGAAAATCCTGAAGTTTTTTCCCATGAGAGAATCTGCCCTTACATATGATAATTTTTTTGAAAAGAAAGGAGAAGAAAAATCTTCCAAAATTTAATTAGCAAGTGATAGAACAGGAAGTGTATTGTTATAACAGTATGATACACACTTCAGAAAAGTCATTGTAAAAATTCGCTTTTAAAAATCACTGTAAAAGCTCATTATAAACTTCAAATCCTAGAGGTTCTTGACAATCACATCATGTAATAAAGGACAAATTAATAAAGACTGAAAAGTAATACTGATTTATGACATTAACTTGGTTCATTTTTTTTGAGGAACAGAAAAAGAAGGATATAAAATCAGGGAAGTATGTCATATTTGCAACCTACCAACTGTATGGTTGAAGTAGATTTGCCTCTGCCTGTATGTTCATTTAATTCAGATTCCACTGGAAGATCATGGGAATGTCCCCAGTGCCCATTAACTAAAGAAAAGCCCTGCTGAATGAAGATGCTTTGCAATTAGTTCTGAAACCCAATGAACAGAGGTGCAGTCTTTTTCAGGCTTTTGTGAAAGCTTACAATTATAAGACTTAGTTATAACAAAACAAACCCTATTGAAAAAGAAAGATTGTTGGCTGACATCAACATTTCCCAATGTTTTTTTTGGTTAAAAAAAAAAAAAAAAAGCCTGAAAAGGGAATCAGATAAATCAGTGACGTTTGTAATAGTTTGATAAAACTTATTTTGTATTAAAATTGAAGATTAACTTTTGAAGCTGAGAAGGATATAAAAATTAATTTTGAGAATTAATATAGCTCTCAGTAGAACAAGTTTAACAATTTGTGGAACAATGATAAAGCCCTTCTTTCCAAATAAGTATCAAAAAGGACTATTTTTTACCAAGCATGCAAAATATCACCATCATCAAAATATTCTCATTCTATTAATCTCACGTGATACCCTTATGGCTGACTCAAAGATAGTGCGGGGACTCGTTGCTATATATCTAAATCAGGCCAGTCCTTAGACACTCTCGTTAAAACAGCAAGTAAAGGTTTAGCCTTTTTTTAGCCTCTCATGCTGAGAAACTTAATGAGCCATCACACTTTGCGTTATATTATATCCTTGTGCGTAATCATATTTTCAGGCACCAGCCACACTGAAATACAGTAGTAGAATTACTATAAGCAAGGCAATGAACAAGGAGATATTATCTTAATATAAGATTAGGTTCCACTGACAGCCACATACATAGTGGATTTTCAGATAAATTGGGATAGGGGTCAAAAACCATTTGGAAATTTTAAGACATCATTCTTGAAGTTATCTTGTGCTTAATTCTCTGTCTTCCTCCTATTCGAACAAAGCCTAGAGTAAACAACTGTCATTGCTATTTCATGCAGATACATACTCTTCACCTGCTCCAGTGCTAGTCATGAAAGCATTCTTATGGAACACGCTCAAATAAATGTTTCCTTCTTGAGTCATAGACATATAGAATACATTAATGAAGCATACAAAATCCATAGAGCAAAGCAAAATAGAAATCAAATGTCAAGCTGATAGGGACACTTTGGAAAGCAGTTTTTAAAGCTTCATTTAACTCACACAAATTATAATTATTTTCTACAATCATTTTAACATTTTTTGCACTATAAAATCTCAAAATAAAAGAGACTTTTAATGGATGAACTGTAAAAGCTTTACCTGGTCACGGGGTGTTACCAGAAGAAAGAAACACTTTTCTATCAGAAAAAATCCATGAATTCCTCCAATCATTCCCAAAAGTTTCCAAATATATTCTTTCCCCTCATAGAAATGTTCTACCTCTTGTGCTTCATGTTTGTGTAAACCAAGAGTCTAAAGAAAAAGAGATAAAGTAAAAAAAAATTAACATGACAATCCTTTAATTTTTGATAATTCATAGTGTGTTAATTCAATTTACTATCAACATTTTCTTCTGCCTTCTCTTTCAGACTTTGGTTTTGTTTTGAGCTAATCAGCTGAACAGTAGATGGATGAAATGAATTATTAGGAGACTCTGCTAACTTCATCATCTTACAGTGATGAAAGTGACATTTTTAGAGGCAATTTAGTGAAATTGCCCTTTACATATGTATAGATATATATTTAGTGTATTTGTTTAGAGTGCATTGATCCTTAAAGTCTAAAAAGTTACTTTCATCATCTTCAGATGTAAACTTACTATTGAAAAGAATTCAGAAAGCTTTCCGCTGGTGGGTGTACTTCCATTTTTACCCCAGTGGCACAGGATGGCAGCCCTCCTTTGCTCTGAATGTGGGCCTTTTAAAGACTACTGCCTTTGTCACTTAAAACTGACGAAGGACAATACTTTCACACTCAAAATGTGTTTCTAAATGACAGACTTTTGCCTGACATTCACTGAGAATTGCCTTTCTCAGAACACTCTCCCAGTTCTGTTTCCAGAGATGGTGTATTGAGTACAAAGAACATTTTGACCAGAATCTCAAGTGAAGGTGTGAAGGTCTCTCAACAACCACTTGAAGCTTACTCATAACAGTTGCATTATATCAGATGAGACTCAGTCAAAAATAGATGAATATACCATGGAAAATTTGGGTTCTGTTTTGCACACTATTCTATTATTAAAATTTATTTAATTAATTTAGGAAAATATCATAGAACTAATTTTATTACAGTTCTAGGCAGCAAGATTAATTAGGCTAACAGCCCTGGGTCACTGGAACAATATGTAGAGGGGACTGTGGATGCCGAATACAATCTTTGAACAATTTCTCCTAGGATGCATTGCAGAATCTGCCTCATAAAAGAGTTTAATATATCTTGAAACATAACTTGTACAGGACTTGTGGGGTTTCTGGAATTTTTTTGTGAAAATAGGAACTGGGTTTTCTCTGAATTCATTACTCATTGCTTTCTGCTTCTTACTACTTGGAATCTGTCTCTGAACTACAAAGTGCAAATGTATTTGAAAGGCTGGGTAGCTAGTTCACAGATTTCATGGGAAGCTTTATTTTTAAACAGATGAATATTAGCCAGGTTTAAACTAAACTTTTCTCTGTGTGTGTGGTGTGTGTGTGCATGTATATATCAACATTTTAAAAACACAGAAGTGTGTGATACCTACCTGAGGAATAAGGTGTAGCAATGCATCTCCAGAAAGAGTCCCAACAGCCAAACCGACAAACAGCTGTAAAATGAGTGTATAGATTTCTTGGCAGGAGTTAAATAAAATGAGGGTTGTACCAAACATAGATCCAATAGTAATAAGTAAAACAGCAAGAGTGCTGTAACCATATTCTGTAGGAAAAAACAAATGAAACAAAACAAGGGCACCTTTTAATCATTCTGTATTTCTATTTGTGTCTGAGTATTTGGTTTTGTATTTGTTTTTGAGGCTGTGTTTTGTCACCTCTGTGTACAAGCAAACAAATTTTTCTAGACATTTGTGGTAGAGATTACAGAACTGGAAGCTTACAAAACACTATTTTTTTTCATGCTTTACAGGCACTACAGTCTAATGTTTCCAAATTTCAGACTTCAAAGAGCTAAATAGACTGTGCAGATTACAGACACTCAGAGCAGCACAGTGAGTGCTGGTCTGCATTTGTTTCCTCTCGTAACAGATTTATTGTTTGTTATTCTATGTCCTCATATGCCACACCTGTGTATCTTTACCATCAATACCACTTTCTTCCCCAAGGCCTAAAACCTCAGAGGAATGTAGGCATCTAATTTAGGTTCTAAGCATAAACATTTTTGTCAAAATTATGTTTACAAATGTGTTGTGGACATACACTCCTTTAGTTACTACATCAGGACCTAATTTTCCCACATTACTGGACTTTTGGTAGTTATAATTCTTCAGAGTTGCATGCTGCTCACATTTCCAACCTTTTGCACGACATGAATCCTGTTTAATCTGTATGGAAGTCTTATGATGGAGGTAAAACACTGATGAGAAACAGACATAAAGGAACTAATGCCAAAATATTAAAAAGCATCACTTAATGTTTCACACTTTAGTAGTACTGCAAGTGCTCAACACCTCATAAAATCAGACAGTAAATTTCACAGACTGCACATCCAAATATAAGAGTATAGTAGATATCTATGAAAGGTCAGGTCTTTGTGACTCACCTAAAACAGCACAGTCTGTCAGTAAAATAGAACTGAGAATAAAATTAATGAGCCTATGCTCAGTTCACTAGGTCACACACAGGTCAAACATGAAGTTCTTTGTCTCTCTAAAGCCAGCAGAAGTGTTCCTGTGGTCATACAAACCCTCCTTTGCTAAAAAAAACACAGGGAAAGGGCTGTAGAAAGGGCTTTTATTAATTCCATTCTGTTCGTGTATAGTTCAGCTTTTCTCATCTACACATATCTCTCACCTTTATGAGATCACTAAAATGTCATCAATGGTCTGATGGCCTTAGACTTGGGAGAATCTCACTCAACTGTGAATTTGCTGCAGACCTTGTATATGATCTAAATAAGTTATTTCCTTTCTTTGTCCTTTGATTCCTCATCTGAAAAATGGGCATATCTGTGTAGCATAGAAAAGATAAAAGTGGTAAAGCGTGCAAGGTGTTCAAGGTAATGAGAAGAAAGATAACATAAAAAGGACCTCTGCCTTCTGCGGAGTCATAATGATTCTTTCTATTCTGCATATTTCTTTCTCCTCTAACAATACTTGGGATATCCACAAATGTCCTTCCATGCCCTTATCTTTTTTTAAATTCATACTCATAGTTCAAATATTCTGTACACCATGGAATGATAGCTCAGCTCATTCTGATGAGCTGCTTTAACATATGTAGCTTAAACTACAGGTAGAATTTAGAAATGGAAAGTGCTGTTCATAAGGATCTTTGGCCAGCAGGATGTGGGGAAAACTTACTAGCTCCTAAAATATCTAGTTATCTAGAATGGGTCATGTATATATTAGGATAAAGGTACTGAAGGCATTGATTTGTAGCCTGAAAGTGCTCTTCTAGATGCAGGTGATTATGGTTAGATGCCCATTCCTTTTTGTTCAGTCCCAGCTCCCCAGTCACCCACCAGAAATTAATGCCCGCTGTAATACACCAGCACATCTAGGTTTGTAACCATTTGCCAGATATGGCTGATTTAAAGTAAAAACAAAACTAGGAAGCACATTAACAAGCCCTTAGGTCAGATCAAATTCATATTGATTTTTGGCAGTGTGGACTAGAGATTAGTTACAGGAGAAATTGAATCAGAACAGATGAGGCAGAAATCCCTGAAGCAGTAGCATGTGAGGACTACAACAGCAACTGGAAACAATCTGATTATACTGTAACTCAGTTCTTGTTCCAACTCTGTCACGCAAGTCCTGATGCCCATGTGACTGGCTTTCTGGTTGTTTTTCTCCCCACAGTAGTACCCCCAAAGCTTAACTGCTGTAAAATATCGTAACATGGAAAAATGGCAACAGGCACACAGAATTTATCTATATCAAGCATTTGCCACATCATGGTATAAAATGCCAGCTAACATGACCTTGAAACTATATGTAAGAGCAATGCAATGATCCCACTGTAAGCCTGGTGGAAATTTCATGAAACAGGTCATTGTTGCACAGCAATCCACTGATATGGACCTGTCATGGCTCACCTCAAGCAGTCCTCTAAGAAATGAACAAAGCCATTGAGATGATAGAATTCTGCCTAATATAAAACTGAGACCGTTGGATCCCCTCACTTCTCAATATAGTACTATTATCTGACATGTATGCTATGAAATTACGGAGTTCACAAATTAGAGAGTGAATAGATCTCATCATGCTTTGGCTGAAGTTTATTAATGAATGAAATGCCTCCAGAACTTTAGTCCCTGCATCCCTTTATCTGAATTTTCACAGTAGTTTACTGGTAAGAACAAAACTCACTTTCCAGAGTTGTTGGTGGAAGCTTTGTCTTCTTGGAGTCAGGAAGCTGACATGAACAACTTAATAGCTGCTGAATGATAGCTGGACTGATTTGCTTGAAGTGGTCCTCAGAAATGGAGGAAGAACTGTTTCTTAAAAAAATCTTCACCAGTTCATTGGCAGAGAAACAAACCTATGCAGAAAAGTATATACAGTTATTGAATATGTTACATATACCTGCATCTGATGCTGAGGTTAAATATGGAATCTTATAATGACGGTGTTATATAGTCTAGAAATATATGCTAAATAACACTGTTTTTTTTTTTATATATATATATATGTATTCCATATACCCATTTCTGGTTATATTAGTTTAATTACTTCAAACACTTCTAATTATTTTTTGGTTTTCCAATTAAAACTTGATACTACTATATTCCAGAAAAAACAGAATCTTTGTGGTGAAGTAGCAAATTTTCTATTGAAGCCTGTTAATATCGTGAGGATCTGACACAACAATATCTCTAAAAATTTTATTGTCATATGTGCTAACAAAGGCCTATTAATGCTAACACAAATCATAGTCTTAGCTTTTAATGTATGACTGCAATAATAGCAATAATATCATGGAAGCAATAATTAGTAGAAGATACTGCCTGGAATTTTGCCTTGTGCTGCATGCTTAGTGAGATATGGAATTAAGGTGCTTTTTAAAATTCTTTAACAATGGCATCTTACTTTAAGGTCAGCAAATTAGATGTTACATAGTCTAAATTGGGTCTAAATATTACTTAATAATTGTATTATTAGAGGTACTCAAGAATTTCAAGTACTTTTTTTTCTTGTTAGGAAGGTCTCTTTGCAAAAAAGAAAATAAACATTTTTTTAGGAACATCTATATTTTGAAAAACATTCATGAAAAGTCTCCAGGATGAAACTTCTTGTAAGAAACGTACGCAGTTAGCATTAGAACAGTTCAAGTGGCAATTTCTATGCAAACTTTTAAAAGAAGTCCAGATCAAATATGCTATTTTATTTAAAGGAATAATTGTCACTTCTTAATCTCATCTGATCAGTTGTGATTCAATTGAATTAGTATCCATCTGACAATCAAGGGGTTCCTAAGTATTCTTTTTCTAATCACTGAAGCTTACGTTTCTTTTGAAAGAAAATTACTATTTAAATGAAAGAGTTGTAATTATCATTACTTTTAAATAACCCAATTAAGCCCCAAAACCTTCCTGCCTTTGTTCATCCATTATTAAAGTAAAATATGTCTTGTAGCTCACTAAGCAACCAAATGAATTAAGCACTGATACACATATTGTGAATGCCACGTTGAAGTCTTCAGGATAACAGCTGATCTCACCACCTGAATCTAGTCTTTTCTGCCTCCAAGGAAAAAGAAATAATTCAGACAATTCAGGGGCTACCATATTGGAAAAGACCTCCTGTTTGCCTGTTCTGGGCAGTGGTTGCCTAGAAGTAGGGAACATCACCAAGTGGTATCAAGTTGGACGTCTAGCTCATGGCTGGTTAAGAGCAGCATCTCTCACTATGCAGTAACTGATATTATTTAATGCCTTCACCAATGAGCTGAGTCATGGAACAGAGTCTACCATACCACATTCACAGAAGAAATCCAACTGGGACACGTAGTCAATATGCTGATTGGCATGGCTGCTATTTAGAGGCATCTTGACAAGCCAAAGAAATGGGCTGACAAGACCTCCATGAAGATCAGCAAATTTATTGTGCTTCCAACAGAATAACCCCATGCACCAATAAAGGCTGTGAAAAACTGGAAAGTAGCTTTACAGAAAAGCGCTTGAGGTCCTAATAGACAATTGAACATGAGTCACCAGTGTGCCCTTGTGGCAGTGAAGGCTAACTGCATACTGGCCTGCATTGGCAAGAGTGTAGCCAGCAGGCAGTGGAAAAAGATTATTGCCCTCCACTTAGGACATAATGAGTCCACATCTGGACTATATCCACTTTAATAACTAGCTGTATAAAAAAGACATTCGCAAACTGGGGGAAGTCCAATGGAAGGCCACCAGGATGGTTAGGGAACTGCAGCACATAATGTGCAGGGGAGAGGCTGAAGGATCTGGGTTTATTCAGTTTGGAGAAGGGTTGTGGAATAGCTCAAGTCTTCAACTATCTAATGGGGTAATAAGGAAAATAGAGCCAGAGTCTTTTATGAGGTGTACAGCAAAAAGATCAGAGGCAATAGCTATTATTTGCAACAGGGAAAATTCCACTTTGCAATAATAATAATAATAATAATAATAATAATAATAATAATAATAAACAACAACAAGGGTAATAAAGCAGTGTTACAGTTTTCCTGGAAAGACTGTGGAATTTCCCTTTTTGGAGACATTCAGAATTCAAGTGGACGTGACCCTGTGAAACTTAATCTGACTTTGATGTTGGCCCAGTGTTGAGAAGTAGGATAAAGATGAGGTCCAGGATTACTATGAACTGGAATTTTAATGTGATTTTTATTATCAGAAATTTTTAAATAAAAAACAAGATCTCATCTAGAAAATAAACTGTCCAACTGCACAGAAAATAAAGTCTTATTTTGTAAAATGTTTCTTTAAGACTTGAGGAATAAGGACCTGCATCTTTTTTCAGTTGCAAGCCTTACTCTTGCAAGCATTTAACAAAGGGTGGCAGAGTACTCAGTCTCCATTAATACTGCAACTATGTGTATAGTCCTGGCAGATGATCCTAAAGAAACAAGTGAATTAAATTTGCATACTTTCATATGAAAAACTGGTTGCATGTATGGATGATTTTGGTTCCCAAAATTGACGTTTCATTAATGAGGTATAATATATGAATACATAGATCTTGTTACATAATAAAATGGAACTCAATATTCTTGCTCTTATTAATGTTACTTGTTTTACATGCATTTTTTAAATCAGTAATGACAATGATGATTTAAAAAGAAAGTGGCTTTTTCAGTCATAATATTTCAAATATGATTCCAGTATGAAAATCTAATTTCAGGTCTTCAGGTAGTTAGCAAACACAAGCCATAAGCAAGTCAATGCCTCATATGTAGCAGCATCTGTTACTAATGGAGCATCATGGCTGTCATAGATACGTGCAGAAAGCAGGAGGCAAAATTAGCAACACAAGAGTGAAATGCAAAGCTTTCTGATGGAATGATGCATCAAAACAGACATAGCTTGAAAGAATCAGAATGAAACGGAACAAAGAAAGTAGGAATTAATACAGAAGAGAAATTATTTTCTCTCCAGTTGTTTCTTTGTGATTTTTTCATCTATACAGAATATTTGCCTCTCAGTTTGACTCCCAAGCCTCAGATAATAAAAAAGACAAGTATGCAGGGGAGTTATTACAGAGAGTCTCAGAAGTTCAAGAAATCAAAAACTGTGTTTTATAAATTATTCTATTGCTGGAGGACAATTTTATTTCTTGAACAGATAACATCACTGCTGATTACCATCCTTCATAACTTAAAATTAATACGAAACACATTTAAAATGAACCTTATTTGAAATTATTTTGAGACCCTACTAAATGCCTCATCATGCTGATCAGCATGATTTTCTTTTGTTGCCAGCTGGAAAGAAATAAACATATTGACAGAGTATGTATTCCAAATGTAATAAAATTACACAGATAAATATCTATCAGAATGGCATTTACCCAGACGCTGTTTGTCTTAGTTCCACATCATAAAACAACCACACAGCAAAAGTAAATTGCACATTGCTTATTCTCCTGAATTGAGAAGAAACAGTGACTTAAAGTTAAATTGTAAAGAACTGGAAATAATAGAAACACACTGTTTGAAGTACACATTTCAAATGTATACATCAAACTAAAGATATATACTTTGAAATCTCTTTTTTTTTTTTGGTCAAAGGAGTTATTTCCAGTGTAATGGATGCCATCTTAATCACTGTTATAAGCAATATTTGTTTATTCCCAAATATTTAGGATAAGAATAAAATCACCTGCAATGAGACACTGTCCTTCAAAGCCCTCAAAGAGGATACTGGGTAGTAGCTAAATTTCTGTCTTACAGACTCTATACTTTCCAAAGGAGCTTCTGGACTCCATGTCTATTAAAAGTTTTTGGAAATGCCCAGTCTTCAGTTTACAGAAGCCTTTAGAAACAACTTATGCAGAAACCTTAATTTACTTTTTCTTTTTCTCAGTACAAAACAACCCTTCTTTCTGCAAGAGCATAAGGGGCCCTAGAAGCTCTGTGACAAGAGCAAAATAAATCTGACAAATGTGTGGAAACATTGAAGCCATGGTACTAGTCATCTCTGTCTCGAAGAAACACCTGATTCTGCCTAACACTAACCATTCCATTAGACCTTCCCAGCTACTTTAATCACACATTCAACATCCATGGAGTTCTTAACCCAATTAATATTTAAACAAATATGAATATATAAAAATATGGTTTTATCTTTATCAACATGACTTCTTGAAACTAGTAAATTTTAGCTCAGAATTAACGTAGTCTTTCCAAACCAATTTGAACATTTATTACTGAAATTCTGTGACCAATACTATAGTAACATAAAAATAAATTGACCTGGTCCCAATCTGTGTTCCTTTCATGATCTTCAGAATAACCTTTCAGATATTCTCCTTTTGTATGATTTCCTTTGACTGGAATATTTCTGACTCCAATATCTCTGATTGCTGTACTATAATGTCTTCTTTTGTGACTGTCAAATTGTCCATTTACAGTGCAGGTCTTTTTGGCTGCAAGCACATTTAGTAGTTGTTCCAGTTCTATTAATTCATTAGAAAACAGATATGTTACCATGGGAAAATATACATTTAAAAAGATAAAATCACAAATAATTGTTAAAATTTCATTGGTTTTAACATTAATTCAACTCTCCATTTTAACACTTTTTTACCTCCTCAGTTTTGTACTGTATGCGATTTCTGCTTTGCGCCTCTAGAAGTTCAAGACACCTATATACTCAGCCCAACTTTTAAAGTTGTTTTAAACCCTACTTAACATACCTTTTTAAAAGTGCTTTGAAAAGTTTGCAAAGTGTTGCTATTAGCAGTTACCACAAAAAAAAAGGAAAAGTAGATGTCTTACAAAAAACCTTTAAATCTGTAATAGGCCCCCGGGTTGATGGTTTAGCTTCTTAAAGCGCTAAACATGCTGAATCTTTTACAGAACTTGATAGCAGCTGCTATTAACACCTGTGCTTTCTATTTATTTTTTTTTAATTATTATTATTTTTGAGCACTTGGAACTCTCCTATGCTTTTATTTATGGTTAAGTAGCATTTCTGATACGGCTAGCAATGGAGCTCCTGAAGAAAATAAACTTACATATTCCAGACTCACTGGGTACTAGGGTCAGAAAGTGAGCAGGGAAGCACAAACCATAAAGATGTTTTCAGGTACAGCAAGCAGATATCAGAGAGCATATGGTCACAACATAGTGGTCTGTACCTATTTCATCTCTCCTGGGGATACCGCTACATTGAGGTGTGAGCGACTGAGGTGTCTAACCTGGCTACTGTACATGAACTATCCTATCTATGCCTAAACAAGTCTTGCAATGTATAAAGATCTGCATAAAGAAGAAATGTAAATAGGGCTCCAGTGAACTCTGCTTTCACAGCTAGATTGACACTCTCAGAGCTCTCTTGGGTAGTTCAGACTGTGCTGAGCAATTAAGTAATAAATTGTTGTGACGGTACACATTTCATGATGTCAGTAACAACTAGTTTTATGCCTCTCGGAGATTTATAAAATTAGAAGTTCTTTATCCAACCTTGTTTTTAAATTTAGAGCAGACTACTTAACATCTCTAAAATGAAATAGCATTTAAATGTAAAATTGAGTGTAAAAGGTCCTTTAGGCATTTAAAGATGGTTTACATCAAATGTGTGTTGCAAAAGGCAAGGAATAAATAGCTTACCTGTCACTCGGAGTTCAGTGGTACTGTTTAGAGAACTGAAAATATATTTTACAAAGAACTCTGGGGATGGCAAAGTTGCTTTCCCCATACAGACTCCTTGGAGAGCCAGAGTAATGATTAAAGCAGCAAGGCGTGGAAGAGTGTTTTCATCAGCACCATCTTTGTCCATTATATCAGCATTTTTCTCCAGAGTACTCACATCAACACACTGAAATAAGGAGAAAACTGCATGAAGAGAGCCCTAGTGCCCTCCATTCAAATAATCAGTGACAGGAGGAGAAAATGGAGAGAATGCTTTCAGACAGCCAGAGTAGAAAAAATACTGAAATTAAAGCTGTAATTGCCAGCAGATGAGAAACAGGACATTTTCAGGAGAACAGACATAAACAAAAAATCCTGGAATTTTACTCAGTATATGAGGAAGAAGTATAGTCCTTCATCCAGGTTATTTTTGCTGTTGTTTTCATGCTGTTTCTTTTATTCCTCTGCTCCTGTTCCATTGCATCTAGATCAACTTCCAGAAAGCAGCAGAAAAGGGAGGAATTTTTGTTAAGGTACAATAAATTGGTTCAAATACAGACTTTAACTATTTATATCAAGAATTCTCCCAATGTTTTTAGTTCCCTATCTATTAAATGGAATCAATAATTTGCTATGTGGCAGCTATCTGGAAAGATACAATTCTCCAGATAATGGATGACTTCCCAGCTGAGTGACCAAACAGGAGCAGCAGACACTCGCGTACACTTGTGCATGGACACGTGCAGGTTTGAAGTGAGAAAGCAGCGTACAGCCCTCTCAGTTGTCTGGAAACTCATCCCTGCTTTCTTCCATTTCTGCCCACTTTGTTTATTTTCACCACAAACAGTTGGGGTTTGAGAAACTAAAAAAGCCAATCAACCAACCAACCAAACTAAAAAAAAAACACCTCAAAACCTTAACTTGGCAAACATTATTTATTTGTTTCAAACCCATATTATCTAAATTGAAAAGTCAACCAGATAAGCCAGTACATTTTACACATGCTCATCTCTCTATATATATGCCTTAAACACTGCAGAGAGGAGGCTGGCATTTCTTTTCTTGTCCATCCATTACACATTTAAATTTCCACAACCTAAATTTCATCTCTCATTTCAAATAATATATTAGGTGCTATGACTGAGAAGAAGATAACTTTCTGCAAAATCAACACATATAAAGAGCCACTAAAAATGCTTTTACTACCCTGCATCATTGGCCCCTTACCATAACTCAAACATTGTGATTCAAAGCATTAGACTATAATGTTTTGAGTACCTTTCCTAAACTCCCCTCTTGCTTCATGTCTGTAGCAGTAGAGTCTCAGTTACTGAACAGACTTGACAACTGATATTGCCAGCATAAACAAACAGACTACACAGTAAAGCACTTCATGGATTGTTACTCTACCTTGGCATGCCAAATACCCACCGATGTCTCATTACAGTTGCCCAGATACCGCTGGAGTTCTTGGAAACCAGCACATTCACCAAGACTCAGAACCAAAAGTACTGGTCCATGAATAATTTATGATAGGAAATGGTCACACAAAGGACACAGAAAGAGGAACTTTGTCCATTATATCAGCATTTTCTGATATTCTCAATATTCTGCTGCACAGCCAAGACTCTTAGCCATCTTCTTCTGTGTAGGAAACTTTACTAGAGTATGGTGTAAATTATAATCTACTTATATAAAAAAGGAAAGGGCAAATTCAAACCTTGCAATAAACCAAATTTAACTGTATATTACAAACATCTCAAGGGTTTCTCAGAGGAGGTCAACCTGTACTTTAGGAGTTATCTAATCTGGCAAAAATTAATTTTATTGCCCGTTACAAGGAAAACAGTTTTTCTTTAGATAGTGAATTTTACAATATTATCCTATTATTTTATAGACCGTACTTGAGCTAAGGAATAATAAACAATGGTGAGAAAAAGCGCTTCATGTTGCCTGACTTAAAAAGGATGTTTTTTTTTGCTGGATATACCCAATATACATTAAAAAAAAAAAAAAGTTTGAATTAAGTTTATCGGTATCAGTCACCATACAAGGCATATTCCTGCTCATAGATAATTAGGATAATTAGTCACAAATGTATGCGTCCCAGCTGTAGGAAGCCATAATATCTTTGGACAGATTCCTTATTCCACCCTGCTTTGGATGGACATCGAAATGCAGGGGTTGGCAAGGATTTAATCACCGCAAAATGAGTCATCAAGCCAGATCAGTTTTGGAGCTTTTCTGTATACCATTTGAATACAAGCTAGTATATACTAATAAATACAAGAGGTGAGAAAGTATTTTCTGCCTTTGAAGCTGAGTGCAGGTCTTGCACCTACACAGCTATGCTCTTTTCCATCTGCCTTAAGCAGGGCAACTGTATCTAAATTGCCTTTTGGGAATGGTTCTTCATATACACTATCTCCTCAACCATGTCTCAGCAGACTATGGAAGTGTACACGCCAGAAGGAAGTCAAGGAGAAAGATAGTATTAAACAGCATGTGGAACAAAAGACTGATGTTCAGCTTATGCTCTTCTACTGTTATTTACCAGTTTTCTGAAGGACTGTAACAGTGACACAATGCCTGAATTAGCTTAAAGGCACTATACCAGTAATAAATATGAAGCTATTTTTATGTTTTCTTTACCTTGGTTTCAGAAGTTTTAAAATGTTGCCTTACTGCAGCCAAAATATCTTCAGTTTCATTCCGTGAAAAATAATAACAGTCTTCATCATGTCTTAAATTAAGCATACTCTGTAGGTAAAACTTATAATCCTTATTATTCAAGCTGAGTTCTGAAGAGCATGCATCTCTACGATGAAGAATGTAGTAGAGAAGAATAAGAGAAATTCTCTCAAATACTTCTTCACTGAGATAGTCTTCTAAATTTCCACCAGCTATTAGTAATAAAGCATCTGGTTCAAGGCACTGCAAAAAAAATAAAAATAAATGGAAATTCAACTCAAGCAACACATTGCCAGTCATCTGCCAATACAGTGAGAGAGAAAAACAGGAGAATTCAACTCTTATATTTAAGGAACTGAACCTAAGACTACACAGCAGCAGGCTGATGGAATGCCAGGAGGAGGGTGCAGGTAACTCATTGCAGTTCCATAGTGGCAAGATCACAGGGTATTTTTTTCCAGATCCCCTTGTGTCTTAATGAAATGTCAAGTATCAAAGGGATTTAAGATTTACTACAAACCAGGATCAACTGATCAATCATTGTAGCAAACTAAAAGCCTTCAACTGGCTTCAACAACTTATATTTCTGGTTATAAATATATTAGATAAGCACAAGGGCTATTAAAATTTTCAATTGTGCATTCTATACGCATTTCTAAGACAACTACTGTGTCTGGGCTATAGATAATTTATGGTATGTAAACAGAAGTTATATCATACTCAATGCACTGTTAAGAGACTTAGTTGACCCTGCAATTATACAGCTATTTTTATTTTTTTCTCAATGAATTCTGTTAACTGGAAAAATTTGGTCCTGTGCAGAGAGCCTTCACAGTCTCCACACCATTTAGTTCTCCAGATGCATTTCAAGAGGGGCTGAAATCATATTCTTAGGTTGTGCAGGCTTTCTGTTTGAGCACAGATTTTTCAATACATATATTATTAAATATGTATATAAACCTTGCAATTTTTCCTGATACAGACACTTTCCAGAAACTTTTGCCAGCTCAAGCAGAAGTTAGTCTTTAAAATTAGACCAGAAGACTAAAAGAGCTCTATGTCATGCTATGGGAAGGAAGATGCTGAATCCCAGAATAAAGAATCTTTCTTGAAGAGATCCTACAACTATTTTCATTCATTGTGTAGCTGTTTCATTCCAACTGGCTCCTTTCCCAGCATGTTATAGGCATGCAAGCTAATCTCAACTATTATTGTAGAACAGGCAGACTGTACATTTCAGAGAACAAAGTACAACTCATGATGGTACCATGGGATGTTCAAAGCTGTACTTTAATAAATTCATGAATCCAGACAAAATCTAGTTTGTCAGACTAAATTGTTTGTGCCTGGAAGCATGATGTGTTGGTTGGTGTGTCTCACTTTGTATGCTAGTTCATTTTCCTATACAGAACCTGAGTAGAATCAAACGCATTGTCTTGTTCAGAAACCAGTGTTCCCTGGAGGAACTGAGGGAACTGCTACTTTTCAATAGAAACAATTCTAACAAAAATTCTCACAAACAGTCTAAACAAGATCTGTAATTCTTTTCCTAATGCATGTCTCCGAGCATTAGTATTTGGCCTAGGAGGAATACAGCTATCCTGTTTTCTGTCCCCAAAGCCCTCAAGTTAATCAACTAGTCTTTTCAAAAACTCAGTAATAATAAAGTAAAAACAGTGCATGTAGTGGAAGATTTTCAAAGACCTCTATAAAATTTGAAAACCCAATAAGGATGAATTGTAATCACTGAGGCTGTTGTTTGCTCTTGCAAGGAAAATGACCGGAAAGGACATTGCTAGTTGGAAAGAAGCAGGTTCATTGCAAAAGATGCAGCTACTGCATAGTATATTGGTAGCCCTCAGAGGATAAACCTTAGGGAGATATTAAGAATACAAATTGCTTCATCACTGGTTATCTTGCTTTTACTAGTATTTTACAGCCATAACCATCTGCATGGCCTTGCTTTAGAAATACTTAGTTGCTGGGCAATGAACCTGAGTTTCTCTCAGTTAGAAGACAAGTTAGAAAACAATATCTTCCCACTGCAAGAAATACACGAATTGTGTTCTTAGGAGACAGAAAAAGACTCAAATGCCTTTCAATAGCTCCCACCTCCTGTCCAAACAGTCTTGGGGCCAATTTATAACTACAACCAAAAACTGGTCTAAAAGAGTGTTAAACTTCACTGGTTTTAAATACCCATTGGAGATATCAGTAACAAAAATAAATTTGAAAACAGTCATGTACTATGACCAGAATCCTGGATTTACAAGGGAAAGTTGAGTCTGAAATCAATTAGTAATTTCCAACAAATATGTGGAAGAAAATACCAAGCTAGGGTGCGGCATTCTTTTTCAAATGTTTATGATCTTGAAGGATAGTGCTTCTTGCACAGTTTTTGTTATCTTGGTTTACCAAATCGTCTTGGAAGATTTCATCACGGTGGTATGTGGGCTGTATGTGACTGAAAATACCATCTCTCATAGATTTTCCACAGGGAATTGTGATCTTGTGGCACTGTCAGTGCAGAATATGAGCAGTCCTACTAACACAGCTGACACTGAGAACTACTGAAAATAGTGAAAAACCTCAGATTCTTCCTCCAGGAAATTTCCAAGATGAAGCCTACACAGAGTGGAAGTCCTGACCAAAGTAAGATATTTTTTGTTTCCATCCAAGGACACAGGGTGCATGCTCTCCACAAATACAGGAAAAAAAATACAACAATCAAGAGAAGTGAAACTGAAAAGGAGAACAAGAAGGCCTAGACCCCTGCTTTGTGAAGTTTAGGAAGACTCTATACCCATTACTTTTTAATACTTTATCAGCTTTTGATCTGGGTCTGTATCTGGTACACATCCGTGGCCTGAATGTGCAAAAATTAAACTGCATGATCTCCTTCGTGAAAATTACCCATTTAGGGAACAACAGACACTTGGCTTATTTACATATGAAATTCACATTGGGGTTAATACAATAAGTGGGAGCATTTGCAGAAAGGGCCAGGTAGGCAAGTAGATTTCTACTGCAAGGGAGGAAAAGTTCTCCATTACGTTGCTTGGCAGATTGCCATGAAGAGTATATTGTGAAATCATTCACCTTTTTGACCATCCTCATAATTCTGATAGAAAATGACACTCTGCTAATAGTAAGTCACTGAACAGTGTCAGAGCCAGAGTAACATTAATCAAAGCCAAGACCAATCGAGCCCTTTGTAGTCCCTTTAGCTAAGCTGCTCACTCACCACTGTCTCCATCCTACCAGGACCTATGATCTGATTAGACTTGTTCCTTTCTTTGTCAAATGGGGAATCAGTTCTGAAAACATTCTAAACTCAACTAGACAACCAAACCTCTGTGAAGCTGTACCTAGGACTTTATGCAGTTTCAATTTGGATTTGTAGATTCCTTGTTCTGCCTTTGATTTTCCTTGACCTGAACTGCTAACCAAAACCCTCCCCTAAATCTTGATTATTTCAGTGAGGTGGCCCACAAATCTGAGACAACTCAGTGTGGGTTTTATTTTTTACGATCTAAAATACAGTAAACAAAAAAAAAAAAAAAAGAAGTGTCAGAACTGGTCACCAGTTTTTACATACGTATTTTCACAGTGGAAATCATCTGTGTCCCAAATTCAAGCTTTCATGGTTAGATCAAGGTAAAGGAGAAAGATCTTTATTGGAAAATAAACACTTGCTAACTTTTAAAGGAAAATTATTAGTGTTATGCAACTGAAACACAACACTTTAAAGGAACGCCTGTCATGTTTGGAATACTTCTTCATAAGCTCAAAAAATAAGTAATAATTCAGAATGAAATGATCAAAGCAGGGACAACTTCCTGCTGCAACAACAAGCCCTTTACATGTTTAGGTTTTATATTCAGAAGAGTATCACTCTAATAAATAATTTTCAAACTCACTGACAATTCTGTAAATATATCCCTCATTAATTGAAGCACTAACCAGATTACAATCCTCTTGCATGCCATAAATCCGCTGTGGGCACTCAGTTCTCTCCAGTAATATTTTGACCAGTTCTTGTGAATGGTTCATGTGGAGCTCAGTGTTGTCAGCTGAAAGAACGCGTAAAACTTCCATCAGATAGCCTCGGCTGGGAGCATAGCTGCCATTCTGCCCATGCTCTTCCCCAAGCTGTCCTTCAGCAATGAGCACGCTGAATATGAAAGCGGAACATACCATCCCAAGAGCTGGGTGCTTGGTCAGAAAACACATCTCCTTTTCCTGCAGTGCGTGATCTGCACTGAATGTTGGATTGTTGTTTGCACTTCACAGCTTAAACTTGAAACCTGAGGAATCTGAATGGTAAAGGGAAAAAAAAAACAAACCCAAAACCAACCCTTTAATTAGTGTGAATGCAATACGTTTGCAAGGATTTATTAATTGGTTGGCTAAGCTGATTTGCAGTGACAAGCTGTTTTTGAACAACAGGGAGCCTGTAAGGGCTTTGCAGCCCAGAACAGCAGGAAACTAAGACAACCATGGCCTTAAAACTTCTGTAGAATTACCAACAAGATGTTGACTCAAAGTGCCCTTCTCTCCTCTTAAAAGTGTAAGGTTTTCATTTCAGTGCTATGCTATTTCATTCACTAACAATCCTCTTCAGTAAGAATGGGAAAATACCATAGCTTTCACTTTCTTTCCATTATGAAACAGGGGTTTAGTAGCAAAAATAGCTTTAAATAAAGATTACTAGTCTAATTCTGATATGAGTGTGCAGTAGTTATGTTACATGAAAATGATACAGAGCAGGTCTTATTTTTGATACACTTTACCAATGTTACCAAACTCTAACTATACAACACAAAACAGGAATGAGCAGGGTTTATGTAAAAATTAGTGATATTTTATGGTCAGATGAAAGAGATACAAAACTGAGGTCATCATTTCATTCGCAGAACTTGGTAAATAAACAAGACAAACATAGCAGAAGCAGCAAGTTTAACTTGTTAATTCTAGATGTAAAAGACATTTTGTACTGTAAATCTATCTTGTCACTATCTTTCCTAATATACCATCACCTCTGCTTTAGCAGTAATCTATCTCAATATCAAAGAGCAAGAGACATAAAAGAGTTTCACTTCTGTTTTCCACAAAGAAGTTTTGATTTTATTCATGGGCAGATGCTGGCAGTGACCTACATTTTCAGATGATAATGCACATGTTAAACAGCTACACGTAAGTTCAGATTCTTTTAACTACTATATGATATGTGTGTCTTATTTTAAAGTCAACTCTGCTAACCAAGTGTTGAAAATGAAAAAAGAACTGCTAAATTCAAGTTGGCATTCACTCAGATAAAGATTAGTATGTTTTCAGAAGCTAGGAAATCTTTTGGTATTTAGATATATTTCACTGTTAGAGATTAGGAATATGCATCTTTGTTATGAGGAAGCACTTTTTTCTAAACATTATTTTCTTACCTTCTGAAGGGTAAAAGAATGCTTGTGTATCTAGCTTTGTGGCCTTCTGAATCCTTAGAAGTATTTTAGCTGCTGGAAGTCCAATGTTTTTAAAATTCCTTGATGGTGCTCTGGAAGCTGGAGAGGATTAGTTTATTGCTGCCTTGAAAAGTTTTCAGTTGCTATGGAGAGAGCTGCTCTTAAGGTAGCAATGGAGGTGGATGGGAATTAGAACATGTTCTTCTTGGCAAGTTCTAAGCATCATGTTATTGAATGGATTTCACATATTTTAGTAGTTATCATTTTATGTAAACAGTCTATTTTAGTGGTGCAAGATGCACAAAATCTACCGAAGAATGTATTTCATTGTGATGGATAATACATGAAAGCACTCTGTTTTCTACATTACTACATTAGCTGATCAATCCTATGACAAACCTGACCTTTTTTTTCCCATCAAAACATTAATTCTTTTTACAAATAGGAGAACAGAAAAGAAATAGAAACCTTTTCAAGCACCTCCATAGAAAAATGGTACTTTCCTTTGTGAAACACTGTCCATAGAGAACAGACTCTTTCATCCCCTTTTATTCTGTGCCACATATGCAACCATTAAAAAAGCTGGGATAGCTCAGACTGCAGTGAAAAAAATTTCTTCCACCCACTCAGATTTTCCAGAGGGATGCCGTTACAAAGTCAACATTTACGGCACCATGCCATTACAAGAGTATTGCACAGGCAGTTGGTTAAAACTGTCACGTCTGACAGTTTTCCACAGCAACAGGTATGCCAGTCATAACCCTCTCCCACCTTCCAAACCTTCAGTGCAGTAAATGAAGAATTAGTATCTCAGTTGGCTCAACAGTGGAGCAGTAAGCCTGTGATAATAGAAACGTCATAATTCCCTTTAAAGCTAGATTGACAAAAATTCCTGGGTTATAAAACGCCAGTAATATTTCTTACAAGGTGGTGAGCTTAAAGAGAACAGCCTTGTTTTAGTAAGGCTGAGAACTGGCAACTGATACTCACTATAAAAAAAAAAAAAGAAAAAAAAATATTGAACTGACAAGACCAGTTTGAGGGAAATGAAAAAATGTAAACAAATATTCTCAAAGATTCATGAAGTGTGTGCAAACTCTTGTGTGACCAAGACTCGGCATTTTAAAAATCAGTCTTACTAATAGATACTCAAGTACAAAAACCACCTCATATTTGTAGCAAAGTATTTTTCATTTTACTTAACAAGTTACAAAAGATATTTATCAAATTTTGCCAAATATGCAATTTCATGCAAAAAAGAATTACAGAAATTTTCATCTCCGGCATTTATTTTTATATAAATGACTGAAAAGCAGAAACACATGATAATATGCATCTCCACCAGCTTTTATATAATTTGCTCTGTGAAACAAGGCTAACTATGTCCAGACTTGTTCCACTAATAAAAATAATTCCTCAGATAATGAGGGAATACCTTCCAGCATTTAATTCCAGGGATTGCTCAATCTCCAAACAAACATAGAATAGGTTTATCTATGTATAACTTGGTGTTTTGCATATAATTGCAGATTGAAACTAAGAACTCATTCTATGCAATTAAAGTGTACAAAAAGAGGGTGAATTGTTTCAATTTATTGAGAGAAGCTAACATTCAAAAACACATTTGATGAGTTATAACTACTGAAAGCTGCTGAGAGAAGATTTACATAATAATACTGGCTATATCTTACATTAACATTTATATAACAGAGTGATGGTAAAAAAAAAAGGGGAAGAGTTCAGTGTATTAAAATGATAATTACTGGTACAGGGTACTATGGCTGATTTCAAAGGAGAAATTACTTCCCTTTTCAAGTGTTGCAAACCTCCTCTAGCTTGTAAATGAGTTTCTCGGTGGTGGCAAAACCACTGATGTTGACTCAGGCCCCAACCTCTGCTTTTACCCCCGACATGAGAGCACTACCCGTGCTTTTCTATCACTGTCAAAGAATTTTTCTGTCTACACAGCATTTGGATTGCTACTTTTGAAGTAATTGCTAGCATCAATTGCTATGTCCTTTTCTCAAACCCTTCATTAGTATTAGCATTTTTCCCCTACTACCTACCTATCCTGATGTGCCAACTGATAAAATGGGGCAGAGGTAATAACAGAGCTGTGCAGTTAGATGACTATTAGAAGCTCACTAAGATACACAGAGAGAAAGAAATGACTAGTACAGCTTAATGTCTTAAAGCCTCCCAAAGCACCTATCACTATTATTATTCTCTCATGTGGTTTGTAACGTTCTCTCCTAAGTCCCTGCTATTTTGGCTCCAATTCAATTGCATGTCTTTCAGTGATTTTTATTAAAGGGGGGAAAACGTCCATGCATAATACTTGTAAGTCAGTGACCCTCAACTAACAATAGAATGATAAAATGCATGGAAGAAAGAGCCCTCAGAGAAACTGAAGAACTGGGGTAACTCAAATGGAAGTAGCTCACCATTCTAATATGACAACAGACTGCATATTGCAAAACCAGACACATGTTGAACTTCCTGATTAAATAAGCAAATGAAACCTTATTTTTATTCTATTTTACACTTAGTTAAGGGCCTTGGCATGATCAAACACGGATCTGAGCTCAAGAATTTACAGAGATAATTGGTCATTTTCAATCATTTTATCAGTTACCATGGAGGTATACTTGCAAGAGAGTAACTGATTGCTGACAGGCGTAGGTACACGTCTCAGGAAAGTAACACAAGAAACATGATAAGAGGAAGATTGATAAAAATGGGAACTTCTCAAAAATTTTTATTTTCATTTCATGATTGGAGTCATGATCTCATACAACCACATATCAAATTTGCTCCACACATGAATTATTTTATGGCTTAGAAAGCCCACATAGTATTACCTAACTTGCATGCTAGTGAACAGGAGTGAAGGCAATTTCCAACTGGCATAACCAGACACAGAACGTGACAAGCACATGCAGCAAGCCCTCTTTGATTATAGGATTTTTACTTATTTGCTTTTAATTTTAAGTGAACCAGTAAGATTTACTGCAGCTTGTTTCTCCCACCTAGACACCTGCTGCAAGAACAAAAGCAAGTTGCACATTCAAAAATGCCACGTATAACCGCACTTTGCAATTAACTCTTTTTTCAACAGATTGGTGAATGGACTACATAGGAATAGGAAAACTCTTTAGAGAACTCACTTCGAGATGGCAAGGACATTTCTGAGAGTTCCACCAACCTGACAAATGCCTTAATTGTATTTATACAGCAGAATGGGAGACGATGCAGGCATCATTTTAGCAAGACTCCTGCTGAACTTCACAGATTAGTGAGAAACACAGCTACATAACTCTTATTCTTTAGATACTGTATAGCTTGTTTTGATAGACCATGCAATTGTGTTCTTTGCCCTTTTATCAATCACAGCAATCATGGCAAATAGAAAAGAATCCTGTGGCACTGTAGATTTCCTCCATGTTATTAATGTGATATGTGCACATTGCTATAATTACAGCTGTAGGCAGCATATTGACACATGAAAAGGCTACATTTTACATGTAATTTGTATAGATTTTCAATATATAAAGCATGCTTGCCAATGAATTAATGCCAGACTGCTGCAATAAAAAATGCCAAAGCTTTAAAATTACCACAGTCTATTCAGCTTCATTGGCCTCACATGTCAATCCTAACAATATCACATATATTAAGATTGTCAATGAATTAAAATAAATGAATGCTATTGAAATTATCTGAGTTAAATATATTAGCAAAGTTACATACAGTAATATGTGTCTGTCGTGGTTTAAGCCCAGCCGGCAACTCAGAACCACTCAGCTGCTTGCTCACTCTCCCCACCTTCCTCCCCCTCCCCACCCCTTCCTCCCCTTTTCCCAGCTCCTGGAGGGATGTGGAGGAGAATCAAAAGAATGTAATTCCTATGGGTTGAGATAAGAACAGCCCAGTAACTAAGGTATAACACAAACCACTGCTGCTACCACCAGTAATAATAATGATAAGGGAAATAACAAGGGAAGAGAACACAACCTCTCACCACCTGCCAACCAATACCCAGCCCGACACGAGCAGTGATCTAACCCTTCTGGGTAACTGGCCCCAGTTTATATACTGGGCATGATGTTCTGTGGTATGGAATACCTCTTTGGCTAGTTTGGGTCAGGTGTCCTGTCTCCGCTTCTTCCCTGCTTCCCCTCCTCTCTGGCAGAGCATGAGACTCAGAAAGTCCTTGGTCAGAGTAAACATTACTGAACACCAACTAAAAACATTGGTGTTATCAGCTCTGTTCTCAGGCTGAAAGTCAAAAACACAGCACTGCACCAGCTACTAAGAAGAAGAAAAATGACTGCTACTGCTGAACCCAGGACAATGTCTCTGGAACAAGCCTTGTATTACTGTAGGATTGCAAAATTCACCTATTAGCTGAAAGTTTCCTAAGACCTGGAAATCTAGTTACATTAAAAACAGTTTATATGGGTTAACAGAAAGAAAGTGTTCATTGATATAGAAAGTGTGATCTAAAATTTTATTAATTGCCCCCATCTTACTACAGACTTCTTTCTCACACAACCTCACCATTGCTGACTATCTGGCTGTGTTTCAACAAAAACACCCCCCCCCCCAAAAAAAAAAACAACAAATAAACAAACCAAAACCCCAAAGCCATCAATACTATTCAAAGGTAACTTTAATTATAATAAGAACATAGTCAGAGTAGGGGATGTAAGTATCTTGGGCAAGAAAATGAGGGAGCTTCAGAAGGAAGTATATGATGCTGCTCATTTTGAAGTTAAAAAAACATATGGGGAAAAAATGTTCTTGTGTTCATCCCTAGGAAATTAAGTAGCCTAGCTTTGCTGAAGGTATCTAGACATTAAACAACATTGCCTGTTGTTTGGTTATGCCCTGGAGCATAATCAGACTCTATTATGTTTACTGTTTGGTCCTGCTTCTTTGGGTTTCCAAAAGACACAGGGCAAAAACCCCACAAGCTGATTTTACTAACAAGGCTTCATCCAGTACAAAGCATTTACAGTCCAACTAAATAAGTAAAACTATAAATTTAAATATCCCAAATGAAATATTATGCGGTATTATAGCATAGAACACCAAGTAATATTTTAAAGGAAAAAAAAACAAGGTTTTAAAATTGAAAACTAACCTTTCAACAGTTATGCTATTTACCTTATAGGAAACTTGTGTATCTTACATTGCTGCTTCAGCCACTAACTTCTAAGCCCAACATATTGGAATGTTCCTTTCTTGTTGGATAGTAATCGTATGCTCAAAAACCATTCAAAGGTCCCTTTATGTAATTTTTCCTACTTCATACAATATTTTATATATAATTTTTACTATTATAGAAATTAAGAAGTGTTTACTCACATGACTTTTGATTTTCAAACTATGACTCAGTGTTCAGTTGCTCTAAAGAAATTCTTCTCACAACAGGGAGGAGTCATTGCAAGCAAACACCATGGTAACTGTTGCACGAGAGAAGACTGATGTTCCTCAAGGCCTTCTAGACTACCTAAAAACAAAGGAAAAATAAGTTTCTGGGTCATGAATAAAAGCCGGGGTGAGGGGAGGGAAGAGAGTTTCTTTACCTCCTTTGTTTAAATTCAGGAAGTTTGTAGGTGGCACCAACACTAAGAATAGCTTACAGAATAGTTGAGTGACTAGATAAGCTTCAAGTAATAGTTACTGAAAAAATAAAGGTGAAAAGAAAAAAGGAAAATCCAAGAATAGAAGGACCCTGAAAAAAAACAGTATTGATAAGAAACAAATAAATTTAACCAAATACAAACTTCTTCACATTACAATGAACCTAATTTCCACCTTTATTAAAACTACTGAGAAACTAATATTTCTCCCATGTAACCCAGTATTATACCCACTGTCTGAAGGTTTGGTAACAAGAGAAGTGAGAAGGGAGTTTTTTATCATAAGAAATGCTCATACCTCATGAAAGATTTTAAAGTTTTTTATCTGTATATAACCATAGATAACCCAAATACCCATATTCACAATGAGTGCATACATACAGCAAATACAAAATCAACTTTTCAAATACAGTTTGAGTTAGCACAGCATTGTTCTATCCAATATAGGAACAAGTCCTATTTTATCATCAAGAGGACACACTGTTCATTCTGCTCAGTGTTGGCTACAGAATTCTTTGTATAGAATCATAGAATCGTTAGGGTTTGAAATGACTTTAAGATCATCTAGTTCCAACCCCCTGCCATGGGCAGGGACACCTCACACTAAACCATGCCACTCAAGGATTTGTCCAACCTGGCCTTGAAAACCACCAGGGATGGAGCATTCACAACTTCCTTGGGCAACCCATTCCAGTGCCTCACCGCCCTCAATAAAGAACTTCTTCCTTATATACAATCTAAATTTCCCCTGTTTAAGTTTGAACCCATTACCCCTTGTCCCACCACTACAGTCTCTAATGAAGAGTCCCTCCCCAGCATCCCTATAGGCCCCCTTCAGATACTGGAAGGCTGCTATGAGGTCTCCACACAGCCTTCTCTTCTCCAGGCTAACAGCCCCAACTTCCTCAGCCTGTCTTCATACAGGAGGTGCTCCAGTCACCTGATCATCCTTGTGGCCCTTCTCTGGACTTGTTCCAACAGTTCCATGTCCTTTTTATGTTGAGGACACCAGAACTGCACACAATACTCCAGGTGAGGTCTCACAAGAGCAGAGTAGAGGGGCAGGATCACCTCCTTCGACCTGCTGGTCACGCTCCTTTTGATGCAGCCCAGGATATGGTTGGCTTTCTGGGCTGCAAGTGCACACTGAAGCCAGCTCATGTTCATTTTCTCATCAACCAACACCCCCAAGTCCTTCTCCACAGGGCTGCTCTGAATCTCTTCCCTGCCCAACCTGTAGCTGTGCCTGGGATTGCTCCGACCCAGGTGTAGGACCTTGCACTTGTCATGGTTAAACTTCATGAAGTTGGCATCAGCCCACCTCACAAGCATGTCAAGGTCCCTCTGGATGGCATTCCTTCCCTCCAGCGTATCAACTGAACCACCTACCTACTGTCCATCAGTTCCGTAGCCCCATTTTAGAAGGCCACCAAATTGGTCAGGCAGGATTTCCTCTTAGTGAAGCCATGCTGGCTGTCACCAAGCACCTTGTTGATTTTCATGTGCCTTAGCATGCCTTCCAGGAGAATCTGCTCCAAGATTTTGCCAGGCACAGAGGTGAGACTGACTGCTCTGTAATTCCCTGGGTCATCCATTTTCCCCTTCTTGAAAATGGGGGTTATATTTCCCTTTTTCCAGTCATCGGGAACTTCACCTGACTGCCATGATTTCTCAAATATGATGGCCAGCGGCTTCGCAACTTCATTTGCCAGCTCCTTCGGGACCTGTGGATGGATCTCATCAGGACCCATGGACTTGTGCACATTCAGATTTTTAAGATGGTCTCGAACCAGATCCTCTCCTACAGTGGGCACAAGGTCTTCATTCTCACAGTCCCTGCGTCTGCCTTCCAAGACCTGGGTGGTTTGGTCAGAGCCTTTGCCAGTGAAGACCAAGGCAAAGAAGTCATTCAGAACCTCAGCCTTCTCCAAATCCTGTGTAGCCAGTTCTCCTGAGAGCTTCCTGAGGGAGCCTACATCCTCACTAGTCTGTTTTTTATTTGCTATGTACTTGTAGAATCCCTTCCTGTTATTTTTAATACCTCTAGCTAAGTTTAATTCTAAGTTTCCTAACCTGGTCCCTATCTTCCCAGACAACATCCCTGTACTCTTCCCAGGCCTCCTGTCCTTGCTTCCACTTATTATAAGCCTCTTTTTCTCATTTGAATTTTCCTCAGGAGCTCCTTATCCATCCAAGGAGTTCCTGGAACAGAATTGCTATATTTTAATAATTCTTCAGTGAATTTAGCATCTCTTTGCCATTGGCTGTTTCCTTAGTTGTAGAAGAAAACAATTGTGGGTTCAGTGTTTATTATACTAAGAAGCACCAGAATAACTCATCATACTGAGGTGCGATATTGGTATCGTCATTCTTTTCCTGTCCTGTAAATAAATATTCAAAGCAGCTTATGAAATGTATAGGAGATCCCATGACGGGCAACAGGAGTGCTCATCTAGATAAGTATTTTATTATATCTGTATATTCTCTGTGCACAAATGTATATACAAGCAGTATGACACAAGTCAAAATAATATAAAAGAACAATAAAAATCCCTATATCTGATTCAATACGATTATTCTGTTCCTTATATAAACACAACAAGGTTTTCTCTCCACTTACTGAATTCACCTCATAAGTACGTGTGATAATAACCATAATTATTCCCAATGAAGTATCTTTACAATAATATTAGATTTTTTCCATCTTTCCTTTGGTTATGTGCATGCGAAAAATTACATTTGCCTCTTTTATGATTAGACAGTCTACATACCGTGTAACTCCTATGGATGAGTGATACATGCGGGTCCTAATCCTCCATTATTTCCCATCCTAGAAATTCTTGTTATAACCCTGTAAAAAATGCTTATTATATAGTGTTATTTTTCACATCAAGCCTAAAACTCCATGCATCTAATTCTTTCTGCATGAAGATGAGTATCCTCTGTAGCCAATGTCATCAGCAAACTTTATGCCAACAAAAAAAATTTAAGGAAGTATAAGAAAAGTCTAAGACTTGAATCTTGGAAGATCTCTCTAGCAACCTAATGCCAGGTCAATCAATCCCTTTTCCAAAATAACCTATAACCTTTTATATTTTTACCCAAACTCAATTTTTCCATGTCCTCCAGTTTAATAAGTAATTTCCTCGTTGGTACCACACCACACAGTTACACATAATTGTTATAGTGACATTCTGTAGATCAACTGCATCTGCGTTATCCTGGATAAAAAACAGTAATTTAAAAACAAAAAAATTGACATTCCTAGTAGTTTATTAATTCGTTCCTCTTTACCAACTTTTGAATAGAAGCAATGGCTTATTTTTAGCAATAACCATTTCTTTTTCATAAAAGTAGAAAGTCACAAAATACAGAATTAGATCTTTCTAGTTGTATAGATGTATTGAATATATTAAAATATTGAAAATATAAAATACTCAATATTAAAAATATTGAACGTATTGAAAATAAATCCAGTGTAGATGTAGATTACAAAAAAGCACTTTAAAATAACATGCAATTATACTGCATCAAAACGGTTGGCAGTAGAAACACTTTTTTAATCCTTCTAATTGTACTCAGACTGTTTGTAGGTAAGTAAATATTTGTGTTTGTTCTGGAAGTTACTAAATATATATATACATAATCAGCCAAGCTAAAATACAAGTTTGCTCCAATCCAAGCCAAACGAACAGGGTACTATGCTAACTCTAAAGACACTGACTCTATTCCCGCTAGACTGCTGTTTCTGAAGAACTAAAAACCAGTTAATGAAATGTTGCTCAACTTTTGAAGGTAGCAGCACTGGCATAACCAGGGCTCCATCCTGTTCTCAAATTGCTTTTCTTGTTTCTACTTGTTTTATCTATGTTATATACGACGCTTATTGACTATACTTACAAATTATATAGATGGTACCAGTTAATATCAATGCAAACACATGGAAGCCTGTGAGTTGCAAAGCAGATTTCAAGCATGGACCTTGGACTCCTCCTTTGTTAATCATCTCAATAACATCAGCTCATTGTCTAAACACATTTCACCATCTCCAGAAAATTAATGAAGCTACAGTACACTTTTTTTTTGCAATAAGGCTATTCTCGCATCACAAATAATAATGAGGAGCTCACTTCACTTACTAGTGAAGACACATGTAAGGATCCTAGCCATGCTGACAGTGAGCAGGAATAAACAAATCAATAGTGGTAATGCAGATACATTTCAGAACTAATACAGGATACTTGGTTTCAGGGCTGAAGGCCTTCTCTGTCAGGTACCAGAAGAGAATTTACTCTAAAGCAGCTGGCAGTAGTGTATGTATCACACCAGTGGGCCCTAAATTTCATCAAGCATAGAAAGCCTTATAATACTCAGCTGCAAATGTTCACGCAGAAGTCTTTGTAACAACGTCACTCATTGTGATGTTGGTTGGTATTTTAAGCCTTAATTACTGATTTTGAACTGTTACCACCCAGACAATCTAGGACTAATCAGTACCTGTAATCTCCCACACACTGTTCCAAGAACTACTTGCCTGCATTTTCTATTTAGTTCTAATTATAATGTCCTATATAGGAAACATGAACAGCCTGTATTACAGTTGTCTTTTCATCAAGATAATAATTGAAAATTTAAAGTAAATAACTCTAATTTTGAATGTTTGTTCCTACAAACCACTTGGTTATCTCAAAGATGCTCCATACTGTATAAATTCCACTGTCCACTCACTGAAAACATGTTTTACTGAAACTATGCCTTTTAGAAAATTTAAGGTAAGCTAGAGATTTCCTATAAGAAATTATAGTACCAATAAGAAATTACTTTCTTCTTAGTTTTGCATATATAATTTCTACGCAATTACGTGGAAGGATTTCCACCTATGTCTTCCAATTCACGCTTTTAAGGACAGAGGAGATCATTTAGGATCATTACACAGTCTGGCATTAAAGCAGGACAAAAAAACTATACCCAGGAATTTCTGAAATAAACCCATTGTGGGTTTGTATTCTAAGACATATTTATGTACAAAATTCAGCCCTTATCAAAATCTTCATTTGAAGATCTAAACCATCAACAGGGAAGTTATATCAGAGCTTTATTACTCCCACATTTAAAATGTATGCATCATACTTCCAGTGTGGATTTGTTTAGCTTCAGGTACTTCACCTAAACTTCAGCACAGTTAAACGTTCAATACAGTGGAAAAACTGTTACAAACGTAAGCAGATGCTGACCATTATCATTATGTGTCATCTTTTCTTTTTTGTTAAATATTGAGAGAAATGTTAGCATTTGATCAAAACCACCCTCCTGAAAGCCGGTTCTGATATTTAACAACTTGCCATTCACA